CTTCTGTTTGGGCCTCCCAAAGAGCTGAAATTATAGATGTGAGCCACCATACCCAGCCCTATTTATTACTTTTTTTTTTTTTGACATGGAGTCTAGTTCTGTCACCCAGGCTGGAGTGTAGTGGCATGATCCCGGCTCACTGCAAACTCCACCTCCCGGGTTCATGCCATTCTCCTGTCTCAGCCTCCTGAGTAGCTGGGACTACAGGAGCCCACTACCATGCCCAGCTAATTTTTTTGCATTTTTAGTAGAGACGGGGTTTGACTGTGTTAGCCAGGATGGTCTGGATCTCCTGACTTCGTGATCCGCCTGCCTCGGCCTCCCAAAGTGCTGGGATTACAGGCATGAGCTACTTTTTTTTTTTTTTTTTTTTTTTGGATGGTGTCTTGCTCTGTCACCCAGGCTGGAGTATAATGGCACACTCTCCACTTACTGCAACCTCTGCCTCCCCAATTCAAGTGATTCTCCTGCCTTTGCCTCCTGAGTAGCTGGGATTACAGGCACACACCACCACGCCCGGCTAATTTTTTTTATTTTTAGGACGGGGTTTCACTATTCTAGCCAGGCCAGTCTCGAACTCCTGACCTCGTGATCCACCCGCCTCAGCCTCCCAAAGTGTTGGGATTACAGGCGTGAGCCACTGTGCCCAGCCTCTGTTTTTTACTTTTTAAGAGATAGGTTCTCCCCATGTTGCCCAGACTGGAGTGCAGTGGCTATTCACAGGCTGGAAACCACTACTGCCCAGCATGGGAATTTTGCCCTATTCCCTTTCTGACGTGGGCCAGTTCACCCCTCCTTAAGCAACCTGGTGGTCCCCCACTCCAAGGAGGTAGTCGAACTGATGCTGAACTGAGTGCAGACACCCAATTGCCATAGTGGACTACAACCCAGAACTCGTGAGCTCAATGGATGCTCCCACCTCAACCTCTCGAGTAGCTGGGACTACAAACACGTGCCACTGTGCCCAGCCCATCATTGATGCCTCATTGTGTGCTAGGCACTGTACTCAATGTACAATTTTTTTTTCTTTTTTGAGACAGAGTCTTGCTGTGTTGCCCAGGCTGGAGTCCAGTGGCACCATCTTGGCTCATTGCAACCTCCGCCTCCAGGGTTCAAGCCATTCTCCTGTCTCAGCCTCCTGAGTACCTGGAATCACAGGCAATGCACCACCACGCCTGGCTAATTTTTTTTTTTTTTTTGAGATGGAGTCTCGCTCTGTCGCCCAGGCTGGAGTGCAGTGGCGCGATCTCGGCTCACTGCAAGCTCCGCCTCCCGGGTTCACGCCATTCTCCTGCCTCAGCCTCCCGAGTAGCTGGGACTACAGGCGCCCACAACCGCGCCTGGCTAATTTTTTGTATTTTTAGTAGAGACGGGGTTTCACCGTGGTCTCGATCTCCTGACCTTGTGATCCGCCCGCCTCGGCCTCCCAAAGTGCTGGGATTACAGGCGTGAGCCACCGTGCCCGGCCTAATTTTTGTATTTTTAATAGAGACGGGGTTTCGCCATATTGGCCAGGCTGGTCTCAAACTCCTGACCTCAAGTGATCCACCCACCTTGGCCTCCCAAAATGCTGGGATTACATGCATGGCCTGGCCACTCATATATAATTTATATCTGTGACTCACTGTGGCTTGTGGAGGATACAGTGACAAACTGCCAAAGTCTTCCCCCAGCCTTTGAGGCCCTGTAAGATATGGAAGGCCCATAGCCGCCCTTATCTCGCATCCTCGCCTTCCCATCTCTCTCCACAGCTTCATCCTCATAAACCTTCTGGTTCCCCAGGAATATGCTAAACTCAAACCAACCTCAGGACCTTTGCACTTGCTCTTTCCTCTGCCTAGAAATCCCCTGCCTCCCAACTCCAGGCATAACTGCTTCCTTCTTGTTTTTCTCTTTCTTTCTTCCTTTCTTTTCTTTTCTTTTGAGCTGGAGTTTCACTCTGTCACCCAGGCTGGAGTGCAATGGCTTGGTCTCTGCCTACTGAAACCTTCACCTCCCTGGTTCAAACAATTCTGCCTCAGCCTCCCGAGTAGCTGGGATTACAGGTGTGCACCACCATGCCTAGCTAAGTTTTATATTTTTAGTAGAGACAAGGTTTCACCGTGTTGGCCAGGCTGGTCTTGAACTCCTGACTTCAGGTGATCTGCTTGCCTCGGCCTCCCAAAGTGCTGGGATTACAGGTGTAAGCCACCGCGCCCAACCCTTCTTGTTTTACACATGTCAGCTTGAATATCACTTCCTCAGAGGTAACTGCCTAGCTCTATGGTTTCTAAATGAGCCTCCTGCTCCCTTTTTGATTATATTATCCTGTCTGTAAACCTTCTTGCTCTGTTGCGCAAGCCGGAGTGCAGTGGCATCATCATAGCTTGCTGCAGTCTCGACCTCCTGGGCTCCAGTGATCCATCTCAGCCTTCCAAGTAGCTGGAACTACAGGCGTGCACCACCATGCCAGGCTGACAAAACATTTTGTTTTCACCGGGTGCGATGGCTCACACCTATAATCCCAGCACTTTGGGAAGCCAGGGTGGGCATATCATGAGGTCAGGAGTTCCAGACGAGCCTGGCCAGCATAGTGAAACTTTATCTCTACTAAAAATACAAAAATTAGCTAGGCATTGTGGCCTGAGCCTGTAGTCCCAGCTACTTGGAAGGCTGAGGCAGGAGAATCGCTTGAACCAGGGAGGTGCAGGTTGTGGTGAGTCAAGATCGCACCACTGCACTCCAGCCTGGGCCACAGAGCGAGACTTCATCTCAAAATAAATAAGTAAATAAATACAAAAAAAAAAAACAAAAAAATTAGCCGGGCGTGGTGGCGGGTGCCTGTAATCGCAGCTACTCGGGAGGCTAAGTCTGGAGAATTGCTTGAACCTGGGAAACAGGTGGCAGTGAGCCAAGATTGTGCCATTGCACTCCAGCCTGGGCCACAAGAGCAAGACTCTATCTCAAAAGAAAAAAAAAAAGGAAGAAATTTTGTTTTGTAGCGGCATGGTCTTGCTTTGTTGCCCAGGCTGATCTTGCGCCCCTATAATCCCCCTTCTTTGGCCTTCAAAAGTGCTGGGAATTAACAGGTGTAAGCCACTGCCACCCTGTTTCTGTATCATCATCTCGAAAATGGTGATTAAAATAGGGCCTTTGCTGGGCGCGGTAGCTCACGACTATAATCTCAACACTTTGGGAGGCTGAGGCGGGAGGATCACTTGAGGTCAGGAGTTACAGACCAGCTTGGCCAATATGGTGAAACCCTGTGTCTACTAAAAATACAAAAATTAGCCAGGCATGGTGGTGCACACTTGTAATCCCAGCTGCTGGGGAGGCTGAGGCACGAAAATCACTTGAATCTGGGAGGTGAAGGTTGCAGTGAGCCAAGATCATGCCACTGCATTACAGGCAGGGCAAGACTGAGTGAGACACATCTATTATTCCAGCACTTTGGCAGGCCCAGGCCAAAGGATCACTTGAGGCCAGGAGTACGAGACCAGCTTTGGCAATATAGCAAGAGCTCCTCTCTACAAAATATTCTTAAAATATAAAAAAATAGGCCGGGCACGGTGGCTCGCGCCTGTAATCCCAGCACTTTGGGATGATGAGGTGGGCAGATCACAAAGTCAAGAGATCGAGACCATCCTGGCCAACATGGTGAAACCCCGTCTCTACTAAAAATACAAAAATTAGCTGGGCGTGGTGGCACGCGCCTGTAGTCCCAGCTACTCCGAAGGCTGAGGCAGGAGAATTGCTTAAACCCGGGAGGCGGAGGTTGCGGTGGGCTGAGATTGCACCACTGCACTCCTGCCGGGGCGACAGAGCGAGAATCAGTCTCAAAAACAAACAAACAACAACAAAATAGGGCTTTTGGTGAGGATAACTCAGTGTTTTGCCCATAGTGACTGCTGATTAAACGTTAGGTATTGTTATTTATTTTGTGTATGATTGTTTACCTCTTGCATTGAATGAACGATTCATGAGAGGAAACAGGTTCACTTAATCACTCCTGAAACTTCAGCACCTAGAACAGAGGCTGGCCCGTTAGGCACTCAGTAAACATTTTTGAATGAATGAACGAGGCAGGCACGATTATGAGACCTCACTTTCCAGATGCGGAAGTGGAGCTTTTGGGTCACGAAACCAGACAGTGGAGGAGTCAGGATTCAAACCCAGGTCAATCTGGTTCCAAAGTTTCTACTGTTTGTCTCTGTGTCCAGAGGGAATTCTTTTTCGACTCTAGACTTCACTTCTCCTGCCTATACTCTAGGTGTTTACCCTCGTTGGAGACTTGCGGAAGGCGGTCCAATATTCTTGAAATCCATTGTCGGGTTTTCTACCCTCCCCTCTTCCCCCACAACTTTCGAGCCATCTCTGCCTGACACGCGGGCTAGTCCAAGCCTCACAACTGGGCCTGTGCCAAAGCCCGGAGTGGATAATACGGTTGCGGGAGGCCACGGCTCTAAGGGCGGAGTTAAGGGCCTGGGGCCGCAGACAGAGTGGTGGGGAAGGTTGGGGAGGGACTAACAGACCGCGGGGGGAGGGGTTTAGATTCCGAGGGCGGAACTAATCCTATAAGAAGGTCCTGTCCAGAGCTCTGGAGAAGTACTATACTATAAACCCTTGGAGGTTCAGGGGGCGGTGCTAATGATTCTGTGGGCAGGAATAAAACTTTAGCACCCGCAAGATTCCGGGGGTGGGGCTAAGAGCCTGGGGGTGGGCCTAGATGTAATAAACAAGAGCTCCCTGAGCGGGTTTGGGGCTGTAAGGTCGGGCCCTGGTCTTAAGGAGGGAGCTTTTGGAAAATCCAATGAAAATCTGAAGAGAAGGTTTTGGGGATAGGGGAGTGACTACCTCCAACCCATCCTCCTCCCGGAGCTCGGGGCTGCGCTTCAGGCTGAAAGCAGGAGAGGCCCTGCCCCTTCCAATCCCTCTGCATCCCTATTGGTGGAAGGCCCTGCGCGACAGTCTCTCATTGGTTCTGAAAGGGCGAGGAGGGGGGTCTAGAGAGAAAACACTCTGGTTGTGGGCGGGACCAGACGGTACCTAGGGGGATCTGGGCGCAGCCAATCCTGGCCCGAGGATTGTGTTGGGGGGCTTGGCAGGGGGTGTCCTACCCCCCTTTCTGGGCATCCTGGAGGATGACCCCAGCGCCAGGCCCGGCGCCGGCCGCCTGATGCCAGGCAAGCTGAGCTGGGGATGCTGGAACGAAGGGCGTTGCTATGGCAACGGGAGGCAGGGCCTGGTGGGGGGGACCGGGCCCGAGCTGGGACCGGGGGGGCCGGCGGTGGCTGTGGTGGGACGATGGCGGAGCGCGGCCCGGCCTTCTGCGGCCTGTACGACACGTCCTCGCTGCTGCAATACTGCAACGGTGAGACCCCTCCTCAGTTCCGACCTTGGCCCCGCCCAAGGCTGGACCCATCTCTTCTTGCCCCAACCTCCTCCTTCCAAGTCCCCATCCCCCTCCCTTGCTGAAGATCCCCCTTTCCTCTCCCTCAGCAGCACCCTGACCCAAGAGAAGGTCCCTGGCCCCCAAAACCCAGATCCCAGCCCCCCATCCACTTGGATCCTCCGCTACTCCAGAGGTGGCTAGACGGAGAGGACAGAAGGGCAGAACACCAAGGAACCAGGGATTGGAAGGGGGAAGGACCTGGGAGTCGATTGGGCCTGGAACTCTGCCCTTTCTCCCTTCAAGCTTCTGGAACGCTCCCCTATCTCCGTAGCAGGGGGACAGACAGAGGGGGTGGGGATGGATTTGGTGTTGAGTTGAGGGCAGAGTGTGGGACTGGAAAGGGACAGTCAGAGGACTTTGCCTTTAGGATACCTCCCAAATCCTCTGGCCCTGGCCCTCCCGTGCATTAGGACCATCCCTTCTCCCTAGACAAATGCGTGTGATACCAGAAGGGCCACTGTGGGTGTCAGGCTCAGGTGAAGGGAGATAGGAGAAGAGGGGAGTTGGGAGGGAAAAGTGGGACGTGAGGCCTGGTCTCTGGGAAAAAGGGCTGAGGATGGGGGGATGGTCAGGAGGGAGCAGAGGGCTTGAGTCACAGGGATGGGGATGGTGGAGGTGTGGGGGTTGGCAGGATGGGCTGGCCAAGGCCTGACAGTGCAACTGGCCGCTCTGGGTGGGGCACAAGTGTCAAGATGAAAGCACCTCTATTTAACTCAGTTTGGAGGTTCAGCCCTCTGGGCACACACCCTAGTGCCAGGGACCACTGGAATTAGCAGGGGACCCAGAATGCTTATTTTGTCCTCCTCTGTCCCTCTAAAAGCCAGAATGACAGGGTGGCCATTCCTGGGTTGAGTATGGGTTCTTCCATTGATCGGCTGTGTGTGCATGTAACAAGTAACGTCACCTTTCTGGGCTTCAGTACCCTTCCTCCTCCTCTCCTCCTAAAATGGATTATGCCACTACGACTACTAGAGTTGCCAAAAGCATTAGGTATCATAATAATAGTTAATCCTATTCTGGATTTATCGAGCATCAACATGAGCCAGGAACGCGCTAAGTGTTTTGTGTGAGCAGCGCCTGGCACATGTAAGCTCACGGTATCAGATGCCATTTTTTTCTGGTCGTATTATTAATGGTAGGTAGGACCAGGCTGAGCAAAGGAGGTGACTGGGTCCCCCGCCCCCACCTACTGGCTGGGTGATCTTTGGCGTGTCCCTGCACACTCCTGCTAGCCTCCTTCCTTAGTTTCCCGTTTGCAAAACTTGATGCCAACAAGACCCCTAGAGGTTTCCCACTGTTATGAGTTCTAAGTGCTGACGGCTCACTCCTTCTGACCTCAGGAGGCTCCCACCTCCCACTGCAGGTCCAGGCACCGGACCTGGGAGGCGCTGAGTTGGGGGCAGGGCGGACAAGCCTCGGCAGGCGATTGGGCTACGGGGGGGAGGAGGGAGGAGCGGCGGCTGCACTGCGGAGCCCAGAGGGCCAGTTGGGCGGCCTATGGACGCGGGATGGCAGGTGCGAGCTCCACGCCCTGTCCCTGTCTAAGCTACCACCTTTACTTCCACCAGGCTGGGAACCAGGGCTTCCTTGGTTGTGGTCAGCAATGAGTCTGGGTATGAGTATTCTGGGGGAAAAGAGGGAGAGGGACCCCTTGGGTCTCCGCCCCTCCCACTTTGGGAAAATGAGCGGGGTTGGGGGGGCCACTCGGGGAGTCATTTTGGTTGCATCCATAGGCTGGAGAGCCAAATCTGGGGCGCGGGGTAGAGGCGAAATAAAGAAGGAAAACAGAAAAGAGGAATGCCTGCTGGGGAAGAGTTTAGGTGTCATCCCCGTCTGCATTCTCCCTTGGGTCTTCTGGGTCTGCGATGCGCTGCCTGCAATCCCCAAGTCCGCCGCCAGGGGCCGCCGAAGCTCTGTCCTTGCAGCTGGCTCTAGGGTCGAACCCCAGGGTGAGGAGAGGAGGGGACATGGGGAGGCTAGGCATGACCTTTTGACTGGGAAAGTCTTAGAAACAGTGAAGAGATGTTGGTATTCATAACATCATCTTCGTCGGAGGATGTTGGGGATCAATTCTAGAACTTTAGTGTCATTAGGAGTAGGTTAGTGTGTCATTTTGCAAATGCTCTTATCACTCATAGATACTTAAAGTCTTAGTCATAGAATCTTTTTTTTTTTTTTTTTTTTTTTGAGACGGAGTCTCGCTCTGTCGCCAGGCTGGAGTGCGAGTGCAGTGGCGTGATCTTGACTCATGGCAACCTCTGACTCCCTGGGTTCAAGTGATTTCCCTGTCTCAGCCTCCAGAGTAGCTGGGCCTACAGGCACACGCCACCATGCCCGGCTAATTTTTTTTTTCTTTTTCTTTTTGTATTTTAGTAGAGACGGGGTTTCACCGTGTTGGCCAGGATAGTCTCGATCTCCTGACCTCGTGATCCGCCCGCCTCGGCCTCCCAAAATGCTAGGGTTACATGCGTGAGCCACCGTGCCGGGCCACGTCTTAGTCATAGAATCTTAAAGCCAAAGCGAGAGGCTCCTGGGTTCACAGAATCTTAGAAAATAAGAGGGAAGGGACTTCCCCAAGGTCACAGGGCCAGCGCGCTGCAGCAGAGAGGAGTGTGGGGATGGGTTGGAGAGCGGTGGGGATTTCCTTCCCCCTTCAGAGTCCTCTTCCTTGGCCCATCTCCAAGTGTCCCAGCCCCAGGTAGCGGGACAGGAAAGGGGCGTGGCTGGCCCCTCGCTTAGACCCAGGAAGGCGGGAGGGACCCGTTGGGTACTGGAGCTCCTGGGTGGCCCTGCAGCCGGCACTCCCCCGTCTTCCAGATGACAATTTGTCGGGCACGAGCGGTATGGAAGTGGACGACCGCGTGTCGGCGCTGGAGCAGCGGCTGCAGTTACAGGAAGACGAGCTGGCGGTCCTAAAGGCGGCGCTGGCGGATGCTCTGCGTCGCCTGCGGGCATGTGAAGAACAGGGAGCTGCGCTCCGCGCGCGGGGCACCCCCAAGGGCCGGGCGCCTCCGCGCTTAGGCACCACTGCCTCGGGTATCCGGGTTAGACTGGAGGGGTGGGATGGGGAGGACCGGGGCCTGGTCCTCATACTCACCCTTTTCTGCCCCCATCCCTCCAGTGTGTCAGCTCTTGAAAGGCCTTCCCACCAGGACGCCCCTTAATGGCTCAGGACCCCCGCGGCGCGTGGGTGGCTATGCCACGTCCCCATCCTCTCCCAAGAAGGAGGCGACCTCCGGGCGCAGGTAAGGCACAAGGCCGGGACCCCCAGCCTCTTCCAAAACCTCGTGGGAGACAAAGGTGGTTTGTTTGCTTGAGCTCCAGCAGCAGAAGGTGCAGGGAGGATCTCGCCCGCTCACGGCACTTGCCTGCTGGCCTCGAAGGCTCTGCCCCCAACTGTGTGCTCTCTTTTAGCAGTGTCCGCCGCTACTTGTCACCAGAGCGCCTGGCCTCGGTGCGCCGCGAGGACCCCCGCAGCCGGACCACATCCTCCAGCAGCAACTGTAGCGCCAAAAAGGAAGGGTAAGGACTGGGGCGGTGTCAAGCAGCAGAAAGAGATAGGGAGGAAGTGGTCGAGAAATGTAGCCATGCCCCAGGCCACGAGGTCGTAACCTAGAGTGGGGCCAGCCGGTTCAAATGCGGGGACAGTGCCAGAGCCTTGGAAGGACCAATCTTGAGGTGGCACGGTAACAGAGGAAGGTCTGGGAGGGCGGAGTCAATATTTGAGGGGCGTGGCCAGAGTTTTTAGGAGCTGGACAGTCAGGTCTACAGGGCGAGGAAGTCAGGGAGGAGCTTGGCTTATGGACGTGGTTATTAAAGTAAAGGAGAAGGCCCCGTTGAGTTTCAGGGATGAAGTCAAGGGAGCAGCCACTGAGTTTCTGCAAGGAAAGAGGGAGTCTGAGAAATTTAAGGGTGCGGCCAGAGTGTTCGCCTGGGCGAAATTAAAACCTGGGGTACGGGGTAACAGAGGCTGAGACCAGGTGGAGGCATGCCAGATTCCAGAAGCCTTGACATCAAAATCAGGGGACACTGCCTGGTGGAAAAGGGCGTGGTTTAAAGGTTAGGCGGGGCCATGGGGGCGTGGCCAAATGCCAAGAGGTGGAGCCAACTTGGAGGCCTCGAAGGTACTCAACTAAGGAATAAGTGAAAATAGACGTAAACAGAATGCCTGGCGGGCCGGAGAAGGAGCTTTGCGGGGAGGTAGCAGTCAATTCTCAAGCGACTGAGTCAACTCAGGGACAGGGCTAGAAGGGAGGAGGTGGTTGAGATCAGAATGACAGGCGTGGTCAACTCCAGAGGCGGGGCCATACTGAAGATCTGGACCGAGTAAAAACCTGAGGTTATAATTTTAGCAGTTTGGGAGGCGGAGGAGGGATCATCGTTTGAGCTCACGAGTTCGAGACCAGGCTGGGCAACATAGCGAGCCCTCGTCTTTACTAAAAATGAAAATAAATTAGGCCTGGCGTGGTGGCTCAAGCATGTAATGCCAGCACTTTGGGAGGCCTAGGCGGGTGTTTCACAAGATCTCCATCCTGGCCAACATGGTGAAACCTCTTCTCTATTAAAAATACAAAAATTAGCTGGGCGTGGTGGTGCGTGCCTGTAGTCCCAGTTACTGGAGAGGCTGAGGCAGGAGAATCACTTCAACCCAGGAGGCGGAGGTTGCAGTGAGCCGAGATCACGCCACTGCACTCCAGCCTGGCAACAGAGCGAGACTCAGTTAAAACAAATAAAAAACCAAAAAAAAAAAAAAAAAAAAAAAGAGAGAGAGAGAAAGAAAATAGCCCTACGTGCTGGCCTGGGCTTGTAGACCCAGCTACTTGGGAGGCTGCGGCGGGAGGATCACTTGAGCCTAGGAAATTCAAGGTTTCAGTGAGCCATGATCACACCATTGTACTCCAGCCTGGTTGACAGAGCAACACCTTGTATCAAAAACAAAACAAAACAAAAATCACCCTAAAGCTGGAGTTATGGTGTAGTGGGCGTGGTCAGAGCTAACAGGCCAGGGCAAGGGCAAGACCAAGGTGAAAAGTTGCACATTTCAACTCTGCTCAAACCTAGCAAACACAAATACAGCGTTATGTATACTCCAGGCACTTCCCAATAATTAACCAATTTCATCCTCTCAACTATCCCCTGGAGGTGTGGGTTATCTTTATTTATTTATTTATTTAGAGACAGAGTCTTGCTCTTGTTGCCCAGGCTGGAGCACAATGGCACAATCTTAGCTCACTGTAACCTCCGCCTCCCTAGTTCGAATGATTTTCCTGCTTCAGCCTCCCAAGTAGCTGGGATTACAGGCGCCAGCCACCACGCCCTGCTAAGTTTTGTATTTTTAGTAGAGATGGGGTTTCACCACATTGGCCAGGCTGGTCTTGAACTCCTGACCTCAGGTGATCCGCCCGCCTCGGCCTCCTAAAGTGCTGGGATTACAGGCGTGAGCCACCGCGCCCGGCCGGGTACTCTTATTATCCCCATTTTTAAAATGAGGAAACCGAGGCAGAGGTTGGACGACCTGTGTACACTGCTAGGAATTAGCAGAACGGGGGTTTTAACTGAAGCAGGAGCGCTCCCGAGTCCATCTTCTCAACCACTCTCCCCCACCCACCCTGAAAGAACCTGGGATCGGGAGTCCACAATCCGGGATGTGTGACCCGGTGGGACCCTCCGGCTCCAGGGGCGGCCGTGGAGGGCGGGGCAGGGGCGAGGCGGTACGGGCGCCTCCCAGGGCCGGAAGCGGCAGAGCCGGTCCCGGCTCCACCCCCGGCCCTGAAGCTCCGCCAGCCGCCGCCATGAGTAGCTTTGGAGCTGGGTGAGACCCTTTTGCAGACGACCCCCCATCTCCTCTCCGCGCTCCCGGGGCTTAGCTCTCAGGTCTCCCCCATCCCCTGGGGCCCAGGCCGGCGTGGGGACACGCCCCTTCCCTTAAACTCTCCAGGTTTCTCCCGCTGCTTGACGTTTGGGGTGCTGGGGGACTGCGGGTGGGGGGCGTTGGGAGCACCGTGCTGATTAGGAGGGAAGGGTCCTTGGTGACTCCCTTCTTTCAGGATCGCGTCCCTGCCGCTTCATGCTGTGTGATCTTTGGCGATCACTGCCTCTCTGGGCCTGTGTCTTAGGCTCTGCAAGATCAACCGAGCAAAGCACACGGCCTGCAGAGAGGCAGCGCTCTGCCCCTTACTCGGCCCCGTTTTCATCGGAGACCTCCGGGGAGCGGTGGGGAGGAGGAATGGTTTCTCCCCTTTTCTGACCTGACTGCTAAGACCTTTTGTTTTTCTTTGTCCTTTCCTGACAGCAAAACCAAAGAAGTTATCTTCAGTGTGGGTGAGTGGGGAGATGGGGAAGGGCTTGGTGGAAGCTTGCTTGCTGGGGTGACAGGCTGGAGCCAGAGGTCAGGAATCCTGGCTACTGGGTCTTTGCCTTTCTGGCCTCAGTTTCCTTGCCTTTAAAAAAAAAAAAAAAAAAAAAAACTGGAAGAGGAGAGGGAATAGGGATGGGACTGGTGTCAGTGCCTGACCTCTGGGGGTGTCCTGGCAGAGGATGGCTCCGTGAAAATGTTCCTGAGGGGCCGCCCTGTGCCCATGCTGATCCCAGATGAGCTGGCACCCACCTACAGCCTGGACACACGCTCGGAGCTGCCTTCTTGCCGGCTCAAGCTGGACTGGGTGTATCCTTTTCTGGAATCCCCTCAGTGTTCCCATCTCTTCAAGAGGAAATAGAAAGGCGGTCAAGGCAGCTCAGGCCTGTAATCCCAGCACTTTGGGAGGCTGAGATGGGAGGATCGTTTGAGGCCAGGAGTTTGGGACCCGCCTGGGCAACACACAAAAAAAGGTACAGCACGTTCAAGGGCTGTGTGACCAGAGTGGGAATGGTGCATTTGAGCAACAATGAGTTGGGAATGGCTGGGAGCCCAGGTTTTGGAGTCTGACAGAGATGGGATCAAACCCCAGTCCAGCCCGTAGCTGGCTGCGTGACCCTGGAAAAGTCGCCTTGACTCTGTGTGTTAATTGCCTTCTCTGAAAAATGAATTTCATGGCCGAGGCGGGAGGATCACCTGAGGTCAAGAGTTTGAGACCAGCCTGACCAATATGATGAAATCCCGTCTCTATTAAAAATACAAAAATTGGCCCGGCGCGGTGGCTCAAGCCTGTAATCCCAGCACTTTGGGAGGCCGAGACGGGTGGATCACGAGGTCAGGAGATCGAGACCATCCTGGCTAACACGGTGAAACCCCGTCTCTACTAAAAAATACAAAAAACTAGCCGGGCGAGGTGGCGGGCGCCTATAGTCCCAGCTACTCAGGAGGCTGAGGCAGGAGAATGGTATGAACCCAGGAGGCGGAGCTTGCAGTGAACTGAGATCCGGCCACTGCACTTCAGCCTGGGCGACAGAGCGAGACTCCGTCTCAAAAAAAAAAAAAAAAAAAAAATTAGCTGAGCGTGGTTGCATGTGCCTGTAAACCCAGCTACTCGGGAGACTGAGACAGGAGAATCACTTGAACCCAGGAGGCAGAGGTTACAGTGAGCTGAGATTGCCCCATTGCTCTCCGGCCTGGGCCACAAGAGCAAAACTCCATCTCAAAAAAAAAAAAAAAAAAAAAATAGACAGACATGCTGGCATGCTCCTGTGATTCCCAGCTACTCTGGAGGCTGAGGTGGGAGGATCACTTGAGCCTGGGAGGTCGAGGTTGCAGTGAGCCATGATTGTACCATTGCACTCCAGCCTGGACAACACAGTGAGACCCTGTCTCAAAAACAAAACAAAACAAAACAGAAAATTCAAAATAATAATAACTCAAGCACTTACTATGTGACAGACACTGTTCTAAGTTATTCCAGGTATGAATTTGTTTTTTACAACTAGTGGCCTCCGAGAGCTCTCTGAGGCCTACAGTTTGGAAATTATTATACCCCCCTTTCCAGATACGGAAACTGAGATTATAGATAGGGACAAGAATCCTGATTCTGGGACTCAAACTTTTTCCTAAAAGCCTACTGAGCTTGGAGTCCACACCCCAGGAATCCGGTCCGTGTCTGCTTCTCTCTGAGCCTTGGTTTACTCTTTGGAGGAGCCAGGGTGGTTGGTGAAATGGCCTGGCCTTCTGGGAGCCCAGAGCCTTCTCGAGGCAGCTGGAAACATCCCCTGGAGTCTGTCCCGAATGTCCTGCCAGTGGGGCTTGATAAGCATCTGATGAGAGGTGGCTGAGACTGCAAAAGCGTGGACCTCAGATTGCTCCCCTCTGCAGTGACTGCAGGGCAGAGCAGTTTCCAATGGGTCAGGGTATATGTGTACTGACAATCATTCGGATATTTTCTTGTTTTTGAGACAGCCAGGCTGGAGTGCAGTGGCACGATCTTGGCTCACTACAATCTCCACCTCCTGGGTTCAAGCCATTCTCCTGCCTCAGCCACCCGAGCAGCTGGGTGGCATGCGCCATCATGCCTGGCTAATTTTTTGTGTGTGTGTTTTTTTTTTTTTTAGTCAAGACAGGGTTTCGCCATGTTGGCCAGGCTGGTCTCGGACTCCTGACCTCAAGTGATCCACCTGCCTCGGCCTCCCAAAGTGCTGAGATTACAGGCGTGAGCCACCGTGTTTGGCCCATTCAGATATTTTCTGAACATCTGCCACATAGGGCTGGGGACCAGTGCTGACCATGACAGCATCCATCTGCCCTCCTGGGGCATACAGTCTAGCATGGGAACAGACTCGTTGAGAGTGACAACCCAGAGTCTGCAAGGCTGGGATGGGGAATCCACAGGGATGGGGCTGACCCAGCCTGGGGTCATGGAGGGCTTCCTGGAGGAGGAGATACAGAAATGAAAAGAACAGCCCAATCTCAGCCACCATGGAACTCACAGTCTTATCGGGGAATATGAGCAGTTTAACAAATAAACCAGATAACTATCAGCCTGGGCAGCAAAGCGAGATCCCATCTCTACAACAATTTTTTTAAAAATTAGCCAGGCAGGCTGGGTGTAGTGGCTCATGCCTATAATCCCAGCACTTTAGGAGGCCAAGACAAGTGGATTGCTTGAGCCCAGGAGTTTGAGACCAGCCTGGGCAACATGGCGAGACTGCATCTTTACAAAAAATATATAAAAAATTAGCTGGGCATGGTGGTGCATGCCTGTAGTCTCAGCTATTTGGGAAGCGGAGGCAGGAGGATCACTTAAGCCCAGCAGATTGAGGTTGCCTCTTCTGTCGTTTATAAGGACACTTGTGATCGGATTTAGGGGTCACTCTGATAATCCAGGATGAGCTCATCTTGAGATCTATAATTATATCTGCAAAGACCCATTTTCCTTGTAAGGTCACATTTGCAAGTTGAGGGGATTAAGAAACAGACACAGGCTGGGCTCAGTGGCTCACACCTAGAATCCCAGCACTTTGGGAGGCTGAGGCGGGCGGATCACCTGAGGTCAGGAGTTCGAGACCAGCCTGACCAATATGGAGAAATACTGTCTCTACTAAAAATACAAAATTAGGCAGTCATGGTGGCGCATACCTGTAATCCCAGCTACTTGGGAGGCTGAGGCAGGAGAATCTCTTGAACCCAGAAGGCGGAGGTTGCCGTGAGCCAAGACCATGCCATTGCACTCCAGGCTGGGCAACAAGAATGAAACTCCATATCAAAAAAACAAAAAACAAAGGAAACAGACATGTTTTTTTTGGAGTGGGAGGCCCACTACAGGGGTGAGAGTGGAAACGGAAAAACCTCATTCCAATGAGCTTGTTGAGTCTGGTCCTCAGCCAGTGTGTGTGATGCAAAATACATTCCTTGGCCGGGCGCCAGTGGCTCATGCCTCTAATTCCAGCACTTTGGGAAACCAAGGTGGGTGGATCACCTGAGGTCAGGAGTTGGAGACTACCCTGACCAATATGGTGAAACTCCATCTCTATTAAAAATACAAAAATTAGCCTGGCATGGTGGCATGTGCCTGTAGTCCCAGCTACTTGGGAGGCTGAGACAGGAAAATTGCTTGAACCCGGGAGGCGGAGGTTGCAGTGAGCTGGGATCATGCCACTGTACTCCAGCCTGGGCGACAGACTCCATCTTAAAAAATCAAAACAGGCCGGGTGTGGTGGCGCACACCTGTAATCCCAGCACTTTGGGAGGCCGAGGCGGGCACATCATGAGGTCAGGAGATCGAGACCATCCTGGCCAACATGGGGAAACCCCGTCTCTACTAAAAATATAAAAATTAGCTGCGCTTGGTGGCGTGTGTCTGTAATCCCAGATACTCAGGAGGCTGAGGCAGGAGAATCGCTTGAACCAGGGAGTCGGAGGTTGCAATGAGCTGAGATTGTGCCACTTTTCAAAAAAAAAGAAAAAATAAATAAAAAGAAAACAAACAACAAGAACAAAAAGACACATTCCTTAACCGACCCCTGGGTGGCTCCAGCTATGGCTACCGTGGCCGAGACTGCCGAGCCAATCTTTATTTGCTGCCCACCGGGGAGATAGTGTACTTTGTGGCCTCCGTGGCTGTGCTATACAGCGTGGAGGAGCAGAGGCAGCGACACTACCTGGGACACAACGATGACATCAAATGGTGAGATGTGGGAGGGAGGGGACGGGAGGGAGCTGTGGCCGGAGGTGGAGCTCCAGCCCCTGCCTCTCTAGGCCTCTTTTCACATTGCCGCCCTGTGGGGTTTGGGGCGAGGCCAAGACTTTGCTCCCTCTCCAAAGCCACCAGCTGCCCTCAGGCTGAATTCAGTGGGAAAATGTGGATTGAATATCAATATTTCAATATTTCAGATGTTTTAGTTGGGTGTGGTGGTGAGCCCCTGTGGTCCCAGCTACTCGGGAGGCTGAAGCGAGAGGATCATTTGAACTCAGGAGGTCGAGGCTGCAGTGAGCTGTGATTGAGCCACTGCACTCCAGCCTGGGTGAAAGAGCAAGCCTTATCTCAGAAAAAATTCAGACAGTGAATTCACTCAATTCCTGGATCTTTCCCTTCTTTTGAAAATCTGGGGCTGGGCCCAGTGGCTCACACCTGTAATCCTAGCACTTTGGGAGGCTGAGGCGGGTGGATCACGAGGTCAGGAGATCGGGACCATCTTGGCTAACATGGTGAAACCCCGTCTCTACTAAAATCACACAAAAAAATTAGCCAGGCATGGTGGTGGGCACCTGTAGTCCCAGCTACTCGGGAGACTGAGGCAGGACAATGGCGTGACCCCAGGAGGCAGAGCTTGCAGTGAGCCGAGATCACACCACTGCACTCTAGCCTGGGTGACAGAGCGAGACTCCGTCTCAAAAAAAAAAAAAAGGAAAAGAAAATCTGGGGCCGGGCGTGGTGGCTCAAGCCTCTAATCCCAGCACTTTGGGAGGCTGAGATGGGCGGATCATGAGGTCAGGAGATCGAGACCATCCTGGCTAACATGGTGAAACCCCGTCTCTACTAAAAAAATACAAAAAACTAGCCGGACGTGGTGATGGGCGCCTGTAGTCCCAGCTATTCGGGAGGCTGAGGCAGGAGAATGGCATAAACCCAGGAGGCGGAGCTTGCAGTGAGCAGAGATCTGGCCACTGCACTCCAGCCTGGGTGACAGAGCGAGACTCTGTCTCAAAAAGAAAAGAAAAGAAAAGAAAATCTGGGCAGCGAGGTGGCTCACACCTGTAAAACCAGCACTTTGGGAGGCCAAGGCGGAAGGATCGCTGAAGCCCAGGGGTTGGAGGCTGCAGTCAGCTATGATCCTGCCACTGCCCTCTAGCCTGGGAGACAGAGCGAGACTCCATCTTTTTTTTCTTTTTTTGAGAAAAAAGCCGCCACCACGCCCCGCTAATTTTTGTACTTTTAGTAGAGACAGGGTTTCCCCATGTTGGCCAGGCAGATCTTGAAGTCCTGACTTCAGGTGATCCGCCCGCCTTGGTCTCCCAAAGTGCTGGGAGACTCCGTCTCTTGAAAACAAAAACAAAAACAAAAAAACTGAATAGGCATTCCAGACAATTCCTCGTGGTTGGAGCTGGGTGGTGTAATCCCCCTTAAATCAGTGTGCTCTCCTGGCCGCTATTTGAAGTACAGACCTGCGTCCTGCTGGCGTTTGAGTTAGAGACCCCAGGCCTAAGTCTTGCTGCTGAGCCAGCGTACCCCGAGGGCATCCGCTTACTGCTATTAATGGACTAAATACACGTTTATTGACTAAACTGAACCAGCCAATTTGTGGAATGAATGTCCTGGGCCTCCTCTTTCCCACTGAGCCCTGGTCTGTCTGTCCCTTTCTGCAGCTTGGCCATCCACCCGGATATGGTCACCATCGCCACGGGACAGGTGGCGGGCACCACTAAGGAAGGGAAGGTAATGGAAGGGAGGGGAAAGCCGAAAAGAGTGCAGGACGCAGTTGTGGGGGACAAGCAGCTGGTCCCCTCAAGATAACAAGCCTCTCTTCCCTGCAGCCGCTGCCACCCCACGTGCGCATCTGGGACTCAGTTTCCCTCTCCACCTTACACGTGCTGGGCTTGGGGGTGTTTGACAGAGCCGTGTGCTGTGTAGGCTTCTCCAAATCTGTAAGTCCTTCGCCCACCCTAACCCCGCCCCCTCGCCCCCAAAAGGAGGGCAAGTGCCCGCACCTTTTCACCCGTCCCTTGGGTTAAGAGCTAGGAATTCTGCTGGAGGCGTGGCCCGCCTCTGTGACGTCACAATGAGGGCGTGGCCTCATTCCAAGGGGCGGGTGAGTTACCGTGCCTGGCCGGCTCTCGCAGGCATTTTTAAACCCAGTACCTAGGGCCCAGCTGCTCCTTGCCCATTTGCAGGCGGGTTTTGGCATGTCCGGGCAGAGATAAGTACAGAAAGCGAGAGTAAGCCTTTAGGAATTTGGAGAGCAATGACAGCAGCACAACATCCAAGTGTGTGATTGTGGGCTTTTTTGTAAAAAAAATCATATTTTGGCTGGGCATGGTGGCTTATGCCTGTAATCCCAGCATTTTGGGAGGCTGAGGTGGGAGGATCATTTGAAGTCAGGAGTTTGAGACCAGCCTAGCCAACATAGTGAAACCCGTCTCTACCAAAAAAATACAAAAATTAGCCTGATGTGGTGGCGGGCGCCTGTAGTCCCAGCACTTGGGAGGCTGAGGCAGGAGAATTGCTTGAACCCGGGAGGGGGAGGTTGCAGTGAGCCAAGATCACGCCACTGAACTCCAGCCTGGGCAACAGAGCGAGACTCCGTCTCAAAAAAAAAAAAAAAAAAAAAAGGACAGATATGGTGGCTCACGCCTGTAATCCTAGCACTTTGGGAGGCCGAGGCCGGTGGATCACAAGGTCAGGAGTTTGAGACCAGCCTGGCTAACATGGTGAAATCCCGTCTCTACTAAAAATACAAAAATTAACTGGCCATGGTGGAAGGTGCTTATAATCCCAGCAACTCGGGAGGCTGAGGCAAGAGAGTCACTTGAACCTGGGAGGCAGAGGTTGCAGGGAGCCGAGATCGCGCCATTACACTCCAGGCTGGGCGACAGTGCGACACTCCATCTTTAAAAAAAAAAAAAAAAGAAAAGAAAACTCTAATTAGCTGAGTGTACTAGTGTGGGCCTGTACTCCCAGCTACTTGGGAGGCTGAGGTGGGAGGATTGAAAGAGCCTAGGAGATCGAGGCTGCAGTGAACTGTGATCACACCACTACACTCCAACCTGGGCAATATGGCAGGACCCTGACTTAAAAAAGTAAAAAATGAATAAAAATTGGTCAGATGCGGTTCATGCCTGTAATCCCAGCACTTTGGGAGGCCAAGATGGGTGGATCATTTGAGGTCAGGAGTTCGAGACCAGCCTGGTCAACATGGTGAAGCTCTATCTCTACTAAAAAGACACGAAAATTAGCTATGTGTGATGGGCACCTGTAATCCCAGCTACTCAGGAAGCAGAGGCAGGAGAATCACTTGAACCTGGGAGGCAGAGGTTGCAGTGAGCTCAGATCCCACCACTGCACTCCAGCCTGGGGGACAGAGTGAGACTCTATCTAAAAATATATATGTATATATATAAATCATATTTTACATTTGTATCATATTTGATTAAAATATTGGTCTTCAGTGGATTAGGGAGTAAAAAATACCCAGTCTCCTGCACAGATAGCTTAAGAAGCACTGGATTGGAGCCTCATGGGTTTTCTGAGGCCTAAAGAAATGTTTAAGAGCTTGGGGTGGGGGTAAGCTATATTGTTACCAAAGGTGTGGGAAAAATAAAACCTTGCCAAATCAGAATTAACCTGTATTTAATGAAAGGCATAAAAACCCAACATTGGCCGGGCGAGGTGGCTCATGACTGTAATCCCAGCACTTTGGGAGGTGGAAGTGGGTGTATCACCAGAGGTTAAGAGTTCAAGACCAGCCTGACCAACATGGTGAAACCCTGTCTCCACTAAAAATACAAAAATTAGCGGGGCATGTGGTGGCATATGCCAGCTACTTGAGAGGCTGAGACAGGAGAATCGCTTGAACCAGGGAGGCGGAGCTTGCAGTGAACCAAGATGGTGCAACTGCACTCCAGCCTGGGCAATAGAGTGAGACTCAGTCTCAAAAAAATAAATAAATAAATTAAATTAAATTAAAATAAAAAACCCAAAATAATACCAACTTGGTTAATTGCTGAATTTCACCTACATCAGTCATTCTATATATATGTAAATGCAAATGAAATGATGTCAGCAAGAATTCCTGGCTAGGGGTGCTGGCTGCAGAGAAACAATAGCTGAAGGCAAATGAGATGAGTTTCTTAGGGATGAGTCATTTCAAGGCATAGTATGAAAACCATTTCAGATGTCTTCACAGCTTCTAATGGAGGGTGTATTTTAATGTGTTTCCTGCGAAATGGCAGGGCCTTTGAAGGTCTTTTTTTTTTTTTTGAGATCGAGTCTCTCACTGTCGCCCAGGCTGGAGTGCAATGGCATGATCTTGGCTCACTGCATCCTCTGCTTCGCAGCTCAAGCGATTCTCCTGCCTCAGCCTCCCAAGTAGCTGGGATTACAGGCACCTGCCACCACGCCTGGATAATTTTTTGTATTTTTAGTAGAGACGGGGTTTTACTATGTTGGCTAGGCTGGTCTTGATTTCCTGACCTCGTGATCCGCCCACCTTGGCCTCCCAAAGTGCTGGGATTACAGGCGTGAGCCACCACGCTCAGCCTTTTTTTTTTTTTTTTTAAATATTTAAATTTGTTTTGTTTAAGAGACAGGGTCTCCCTATATTGCCCAGACTGGCCTCAAACTCCTGGGCTCAAGCGATCCTCCCACGTAGACCTCCCAAAGTGCTATGATTACAGGCATGAGCCACTGTGCCCAGCCTGAAGGTTTTAAAACAGGCCTGTGTGGTGAATGCCTTGATGGGCATGGGGGAGGATGGGTCCTGACTCCCCTTGCCTCTGTCCCCCTCCTCTCTCCTCCTCTTTAGAATGGGGGCAACCTGCTGTGCGCAGTGGACGAATCCAATGATCACATGCTCTCGGTGTGGGACTGGGCCAAGGAGACCAAGGTGGTGGATGTTAAGGTGAGGTGACTTTTCTCATCCTCTCCCCCTGGGTGCCACTGTGGGACTTGCCCAAGCTCAGTGGTTAGGAATCTGCAATGAGATAGACCCGTGTTTAAGCCCTGGCTTTACTCCTTGCTGGCTGTTTGAGCAAGCCGCTTGTCACCTCAGAGCTTCGGTGGCCTCATCTATAATATGGGGATAATAGGCTGGGCAAGGTGACTCGCACCTGTAATCCTAGCACTTTGGGAGGCCGACATGAGAGGATTGCTTCAGCTCAGAAGTTTGAGATCAGCCTGGGCAACATAAGGAGACCTATCTCTACTTAAAAAAAAAAAAAAAAAGGCCAGGTGCGGTGGCTCATGCCTGTAATCCCAGCACTTTGGGAGGCCAAGGCATGCGGATCACCTGAGGTCGGGGGTTCGAGACCAGCCTGACCAACATGGAGAAACCCTGTCTCTACTAGAAATACAAAATTAGCCGGGCGTGGTGGCGCATGCCTGTAATCCCAGCTACTTGAGAGGCTGAGGCAGGAGAATCTCTTGAACCCAGAGGTGAAGGTCGCAGTGAGCCAAGATCGCACCGTTGCACTCCAGCCTGGGCAACAAGAGCTAAACTCTGTCTCAAAAACAAAAAACAAAAAAAACAAAAAAAACTCCTGGCACTTAAAAAAACAAATAGCTGGATGTGGCATACACCTGTAATCCCAGCTACTTGGGAGGCTAAGGTGGAAGGATCGCTTGAACCTGGTAGGTTGAGGCTGCAGTGAGCCATGATTGCACCATTACACTCCAGCCTGGGCAACAGCGTGAGATCCTGTCTCAAAAAAAATAAATAAATAGATAAAATAAAATGGGGATAATGGTAGCATCTTCCTCGTAGGGTCTTGGTGAGTAGCATCTTCCTCATAGGGCCTTGGTGAGTAGCATCTTCCTCATAGGGCCTTGGTCAGGATGTGGGGATATGTGGTGTGGTGGACCAGGCCCAACAGAAGGGTGGGTTTGAGGTGGCTGCTGACTCTGCAGTCCTGTGGTGTCTCGATTTGCCTCTCTGGAAGGTGACCTATTTTATGGATGAGGCATGGTTAGGGGAAGACATACTTGCCTCAGGTTGTATACCTATCCTGGCTGGGGGCAGGAAACTTGGGTTTTGTTCTATTTATTTACTCAAAAAAAAAAAAAAAAAAAATCCAGGCGTGGTGGCTCACGCCTGTAATCACAACACTTTGGGAGGCTGAGTCAGGTGGATCACGAGGTCAAGAGGTCGAGACCAGCCTGGCCAACATGGTGAAATCCCATCTCTACTAAGAATACAAAAATTAGTTGGGTGTGGTGGCACGTGCCTATAATCCCAGCTACTCGGGAGGCTGGGGCAGGAGAATTGCTTGAACTCAGGAGGCGGAGGTTGCATTGAGCCAAGATCATGCCACTGCACTCCAGTCTGGGTGAGAGAGCAAGACTCCTTCTCGAAAAAAAAAAAAAGGAAAAGTTCAGGTGTGCAGCATACAACCCGAACAGCTGTACAGGGCAGTCCTGTGAGGGGCGGGTATAGTAGCCTTGGGGACTTTGAGATCTTCATTCAGAATCTCCCCCACCCCCAAAGTGCTCCAACGAGGCTGTATTGGTGGCCACCTTCCACCCCACGGACCCCACTGTGCTTATCACCTGCGGGAAATCTCACATCTACTTCTGGACCTTGGAGGGGGGCAGCTTGAGCAAGCGGCAAGGCCTCTTTGAGGTGAGTGCCAGGGATTTGGGGGACAGGCTGGCCCTGAGAGAGGTAGTCAGGGACAGGCAGGGAGGCAGCAAGATCCCCCACAGGGTGGCCGGGGTTTGGGATTACAGGGACGCTGAGATGTTGCCTGCTGGGGCCTCAGTTTCTTTCTCCATACCATGGTGATGATCCGCCTTTACTCTGGATTTAAGAGGGTGGCCGGGCACCATGAGGTGGAAGGATCGCCTGAGTTTACGGCTGCAGTGAGCCGTGATCACTCCAGCCTGGGTGATAGAACGAGACCCTGTCTCAGAAAAAAAAAAAAAAAAAGTCGTGAGGATTCAAAGGGATGAAGAGTATAGCAGCTCCTAGCAGATAGTAAATGCTCAATAAATGGGTACTGTGGCGAGGTGGCTCTCGCCTGTAATCCCAGCATTTTGGGAGGCTGAGGTGGTAGGATCCCTTGAGCCCAGGAGTTCGAGACCAGCCTGGGAAACATGGTGAGACCTCATATCTACAAAAAATACAAAAATTAACCGGCATGGCGGTGCGCACCTGTAATCCCAGCTACCTGGGAGGCTGAGGTGGGAGGATCGCTTGAGCCAGGGAGGTTGACACTGCAGTGAGCCATGATGGTGCCACTGTGCTCCAGCCTGGGTGACAAAGTGAGACCCTGTCTCCAAAAAAAAAAACAAAAACAAACAAACAAAAAAAACTGGGGTGCTGCAGTTGTCAATATGAGGGATAATCAGAGAACTCGGAGGCTGCCTGGCTGAGAGAGCCACAAGCTGAGGCAGACAAACTGAGTGGGAAGCAGAAGGTGGGAAGACACAGGGCTTCCTCTCCTAGGGGTCATTGCCTTTGGTGAGAGATGGGGCTTCCACCCCAAAAAGGGAAGCCCAGAGAACACTGGGCATAGGGATGAAACAGAGACACTGAGAAGGTGGAGTGAGGCAGGGAAGGGGACGTAGAGAGACTGAAGGTGAGGAGGGAGGAGGAGAGATAGGACGAATGAGGCGCTGACAGGAGTGGAGAAGTTAGGGGGACCAGGCCGGGCGCGGTGACTCACGCCTGTAATCCCAGCGCTTTGGGAGGTGGAGGCAAGTGGATCACGAAGTCAGGAGTTCAAGACCAGCCTGGTCAACGTGGTGAAACCCCATCTCTACTAAAAAAAGTACAAAAATTAGCCGGGTGTGGTGGCGTGCGCCTGTAATCCCAGCTACTTGGGAGGCTGCGGCAGGAGAATCGCTTGAACCCAGGAGGTGGAGGTTGCAGTGAGCCGAGATTGTGCCACTGCACTCCAGCCTGGCGACAGAGTGAGACTCCATCTCAAAAACAAAAACAAAAACTAAACAAAATTAGCCGGCCGTGATGGTGCAGGCCTGTAATCCCAGCTACTTGGGAGGCTGAAGCAGGAGAATCGTTTGAACCCAGGAGGTGGAGGTTGCTGTGAGCCGATATGTACCACTGCACTCCAGCCTGGATGACAGGTGAGACTATGTCTCAAGAGAAAGAGTCAGGGGGACCAGAGAGACGGCAGGAAGTGGGCCCAGGGGTAGGAAAGCGAGACAGTTGTGGTCAGAACCTCTAGGCCACCGGAGCACTGCAGGCGGGATGGAGGCAGGTGGGAGAAGTGATGCTCCACGCAGAGCCTTACACCCAAATGCATACAGGGGATTGCCTGGCCACGGTCCTGGGTGACAGATGACCTCTGGGAGGCTACCTGCTTCAGTGACGCTCTGAAACCTTCCTTTCCTCCCCCACCTTAGAAACATGAGAAACCGAAGTATGTGCTGTGTGTGACCTTTTTGGAAGGTGGCGACGTGGTCACGGGGGACTCTGGGGGGAACCTCTATGTTTGGGGCAAAGGTCAGTGTCACCCTATTTGTTTGGTCCCCAATCCAGTCTTCCCAAACACTCCTGGCTCTGCCTCCCTTCGTGGAATGCTGCTTGTGTGGAATGAGTGTAAACGGATGTCCAATTCCAACACCCCCGTCAAGGCTCAGCTCAAATATCCCCATCTCCAGGAAATCTTTATTGACTCCCCTCTGCCTTGACCTCTGGAAATCCCCTGTTAGGGATCAAGTCCAGATTATCAATGAATGGGTTAGTTCAGTTGTGGTTAGATGATGAATGGATGGATGGGCGGATGGAAGGAAGGACGGATGGGCAGATGCTTTGTCCCAGAGTGTGGATCAATGAATGAGTGAACGAAGGAATGAATGAAGGTGTGATCCTAGGAAATGGATGGAAGAATAAGTAAATGAATGTGTCATCCTCCTTAAAGGGAGAGTGACTAGGTAAAGGAACAAATGAGTGGGTTGTTACCACTAATGGCTAGCTATGTTAGTAAATAGGTTTTGTTTTAGGCAGTGGATCTATACAGCAATGAATGAATGAGTGAATGAATGGATGGTTGTTTCAGCCAATGGATTAATGTGTTATGAAGAACAGATTGTTCCAAGAAGTTAATCAATGATTGGATGAATAAATGACTTGATTGTCTTAGCCAATGGTTGAGTGAAGAAATGCTTGTTCCAACCAATGGATGACTTTATTAATAAACTAATGGGTTGAGGCTGGGAGAGTGGCTCATGCCTGTAATGCTAGTACTTTGGGAGGCCGAGGCAGGAAGATTGCTTGAGCCCAGGAGTTCTAGACCAGCCTAGGCAACATAGTGAGACCCCATATCTACAAAAAATTAAAAAATAATAATATGCTGGGCGCAGTGGCTCATGCCTGTAATCCCAGCATTTTGGGAGGCCAAGGCAGGTGGATCATCTGAGGTCAGGAGTTCGAGACCAGCCTGGCCAACATGGTGAAACCCTGTCTCTACTGAAAATACAAGAGAATTACCCAGGTGTGGTGGCGTGTGCCTGTAATCCCAGCTAGTTGGGAGGCTGAGGCGTAAGAATTGCTTGGACCTGGGAAGTGGAGGTTGTAGTGAGCTGAGATTGCACCACTGCACTTTAGCCTGGGTTACAGAGCAAGACTCTGTTTAAAAAAAAAAAAAAATTAGCCGGGCATGGTGGTGGGTGCCTGTAATCCTAGCTACACGGGGGTGGGGGAGGTTGAAGTCGGAGAATCGCTTGAACCCTGGAGGCAGAGGCTGCAGTGAGCTGAGACAGTGCCACTGCACTCCAGCCTGGGCAACAGGGCAAGACTCCATCTCAAAAAATAAAAAAAATAAAAATAAAAAAGAGAGCCCAGCTTACCTGGAGGAAGTGAAACCACATTTGAGTCTTGAAGGATGGGAAATTAAAGAGAATTATTGTTTCTTCCTCTCCTCTCTCGGTCTCCTTCCTGACCTCACAGCCTTCAGCCTCGCCACCTCCAATTAGGTTTGTTCCCAGAAGCAAATGTAAATCTGACCCAATCCCTCCCCTTCCATTGCTCCCAGGTTCCCTTATGACAAGTCCATGCTCCTCACTGAGGCCTCCAGGACTCTGCCCGATCTGGCCCTGCCGTCTCCTGCCTTGACATGCATGCCCTTGTATGTTACACTTAATCACACCAAATCTCTATTAGTTCCCTCAGTTATCCATGTTCTTGCCTACTCTCTGCTTTTTGCAACAGAAACTTGTTCCTTCCACTTGGAACATTTTCCCGTCCTCTCTTGTCCCAGCTGACTCCTACCCTACCTCCAGATCCTTGCTCAGCTATCTCCTCCTCCAGGAAGCCCTCCCTGACTCACCTGGCTGGGTGGAGCCCTCTATGGGATCTCAGTCTCCTGGGTGTGCGCCTGAGTCTTCTGGGCCTGAACACCTGGGGTTAGCGCTGACTTACAGTGAGCCTTGCAAGGGTAGGGTGTGTGGTTGCCTTGGTCACCACTGTGTCCCCATATGAACCTGGGCCCAGAGCAAATACTGGTTAAAGAATTATTGATTGGGCCAGGCGCGGTGGCTCAAGCCTGTAATCCCAGCACTTTGGGAGGCCGAGACGGGCGGATCACGAGGTCAGGAGATCGAGACCATCCTGGCTAACACGGTGAAACCCCGTCTCTACTAAAAAATACAAAAAACTAGCCGGGCGCGGTGGCGGGCGCCTGTAGTCCCAACTACTCGGGAGGCTGAGGCAGGAGAATGGCGTGAACCCGGGAGGCGGAGCTTGCAGTGAGCTGAGATCCGGCCACTGCACTCCAGCCTGGGCGGCAGAGCGAGACTCCGTCTCAAAAAAAAAAAAAAAAAAAAAAAAAAAAAAGAATTATTGATTGAATGGGTTAATGGATAAAAGAATGGATAGGCAGATTGCCAGATGGGCAGATAGACGGGTGAATGGGTAGATAGATGGGAAAATAGAAAATGGGTGGATGTTTGTTTTTTGTGTTTGTTTGTTTGTTTGTTTGTGTTGTGTTTGTTTGCTTGTTTTTGAGATGGAGTCTTACTCTGTTGTGCAGGCTGGAATGCAGTGGTGCGATCTCGGCTCACTGTAATCTCCGCCTCCTGGATTCAAGCAATTCTCCTGCTTTAGCCTCCCGAGTAGCTGGGACTACAGGCGCATGCCACCACACCCAACTAATGTTTGTATTTTTAGTAGAGATGGGATTTCACCATGTTGCTCAGGCTGGTCTTGAACTCCTGACCTCAAGTGATCCACCCGCCTCGGCCTCCCAAAGTTCTGGGATTACAGGCGTGAGCCACCACGCCTTGCCTAAAATGGATAGATAGAAGGATGCATCAACTGGTGAATGGTAGTTGACTGAAAGAGAGGATGGGCTGGTTGAGGTGGCTAGCGCCTATAATCCTAGCACTTTGAGGGGCTGAGGCAGGAGGACTGGTTGAGCCCAGGAGTTTGAGACCAGCCAGGGCAACATAGTGAGACCTCATCTTTACTTTTAAAAGTTTTTAGGCCAGGCACGGTGGCTCACACCTGTAATCCCAGCACTTTGGGAAGCCGAAGCAGGCAGATCACGAGGTCAGAAGTTCAAGACCAGCCCAGCCAACATAGCAAAACCCCATCTCTACTAAAAATAGAAAAATTCACCTGGCATGGTGGCGAGCACCTGTAATCCCAGCTACTCAGGAGGTTGAGGTGGGAGAATCGCTTGAACCCAGGAGGTGGAGGTTGCAGTGAGCAGAGATGGCACCATTGCACTCCAGCCTAGGGGACAGAGTGAGACTGTCTCAAACAAAAAAAAATTTTTTTTAATAAAGGATTTTTTTTTTTTTAAGACAGGGTCTCACTCTAGCGCCCAGGCTGGAGTGCAGTTGTGCCATCACAGCTCACTGCAACCTCTGCCTCCCAGTCTCAAGTGATCCTCCTGCCTCCCAAGTACCTGGGACTACAGGTGCCCACCACCAGGCCCAGGTAATTTTTGTATTTGTTAATAGAGATGAGGTTTCGCTATGTGGTCCAGGCTGGTCTCGAACCCTTGAGCTCAAGTGATCCACCCGCCTCAGCCTGCCCTCTCTCTCTTTTTATTTTTTTCTTTTTGAGACGGAGTCTCGCTCTGTGCCCAGGCTGGAGTACAGTGGCATCATCTCGGCTCACTGCAAGCTCCGCCTCCCGGGTTCATGCCATTCTCCTGCCTCAGCCTCCCAAGTAGCTGGGACTACAGGCACCTGCCACCACACCCAGCTAATTTTTTGTATTTTTAGTAGAGACGGGGTTTCACCATGTTAGCCAGGATGGTCTCAATCTCCTGACCTCGTGATCTGCCCGCCTCTGCCTCCCAAAGTGCTGCGATTACCGGCATCAGCCACCGCGCTCAGCCAGCCTGCCCTCTCTTTTTAAAAAATTGTCTTTATTAGGTTGGGTGCCATGGTTCATGCCTGTAATCTTGGCACTTTGGGAGGCCGAAGCGGGCAGATCACTTGAGTCGAAGAGTTTGAGACCGGCCAAGAGAGTGAAACCCTGTCTCTACTAAAAATACAAAAATTAGCTGGGTGTGGTGGCACATGCCTGTAATCCCAGCTACTCCAGAGGCTGAGACATGAGAATCACTTAAACCCAGGAGGCAGAGGTTGCAGTGAGCCAAGATCGTGCCACTGCACTCCAGCCTGGTCAACAGAGCAAGACTTTGTCTCAAAAAACAAAACAAAACAAAACAAAAAACAAGAGAGGGCAAATGATTGGATGAGAGGTGGGTTGATGGATAGATGGCAGGGTGGCTGACTGGATGGATCAGTAGAGAGATGGGTGGATGAATGGGTAGGGTGATGGATGGATAGTCTGGTGGATGAATGGGTGATGAATGGATGAGTGGATAGTGTTCATCTAACAGACCAGTAGATAAGTGAGTGGATGGATGGATGGGTGGGTGTATAGGCCAAAGGGTGGATGGATGGATGGGTAGATGTTAGTTCAGATGGTTTAATGAATGGATGATAAGGTATTGTATTTGAGTGGGTATGTGGCAGGTGCTTGGGTGGTTGGGTGGGTGGAAGAGCAGATAGAAAGGTGGAAAGGTGGGGCCGGGCATGGTGGCTCATGCCTGTAATCCCAGCACTTAGGGAGGCCGAGAAGGTGGATCATTTGAGGTCAGGAGTTTGAGACCAGCCTGGCCAACATGGTGAAACCCGTCTCTACTAGAAACTCAAAAAATTAGCCAGGTGTGGTGGTGGGCACCTGTAATCCCAGCTACTTGGGAGGCTGAGACAGGAGAGTCACTTGAACCTGAGAGGCAGAGGTTGAAGTGGTCCGAGGTAGCACCACTGCACTCCAGTCTGGGCGACAGAGAGACTCTGTCTCAAAAAAAAAAGAAAAGAAAAGAAAAAGAAAGATGGGGCCGGGCGCGGTGGCTCAAGCCTGTAATCCCAGCACTTTGGGAGGCCGAGACGGGCGGATCACGAGGTCAGGAGATCGAGACCATCCTGGCTAACACGGTGAAACCCCGTCTCTACTAAAAAATACAAAAAAAAACTAGCCGGGCGAGGTGGCGGGCGCCTGTAGTCCCGGCTACTCGGGAGGCTGAGGCAGGAGAATGGCGGGAACCCGGGAGGCAGAGGTTTCAGTGAGCTGAGATCCGGCCACAGCACTCCAGCCTGGGTGACAGAGCGAGACTCCGTCTCAAAAAAAAAAAAAAAGAAAAAGAAAAAGAAAGGTGGAAAGGTGGGTGAGAATGTATGGACATAGGCTTGAGAGTTGAAGATGCTTTCAGGGGTCAGCACAGAGGTCGCTTCTCCCTGTTGACCCTGCCCCTGGCCACCCTGCAGGTGGGAACCGTATCACACAGGCGGTGCTGGGCGCCCATGACGGTGGCGTGTTTGGGCTCTGCGCCCTGCGGGACGGGACGCTGGTGTCCGGAGGGGGCCGTGATCGGCGGGTGGTCCTCTGGGGTTCTGACTACAGCAAGCTGCAGGAAGTGGAGGTGAGGAGGGGCAGTGGGCTCAGATGGGGGTGGAGAGACCCCCCCATCTCACCAGGGCTGCCAACACCAGACCCTCCTCCCCACAGCATGTCACCCCACGCCCACCCCTGTGTGCATCCTACTCATCTTCCCTCTTATCTGCCCACCCAGGTCCCCGAGGACTTTGGCCCTGTGCGCACTGTGGCAGAGGGCCACGGAGACACACTGTACGTGGGGACCACCCGCAATTCCATCCTGCAGGGCTCCATGCACACGGGCTTCTCGCTGCTGGTCCAGGTGCGCCTCCCTCCACTTTACCCCTCCCCTCTTCCCAACTCTTCCCCTTGTCTTCCCTGCATTATCCACTCCCCCTCCCCACTCCTAGTTCTCCTCACCTCCCTGCTGTGTCCCTTCTCTGACCTGGCCCTGACCCAGGACCCCTTCCCAGGATCCAGCAACCAAGAGTTTAACTCCGAGCACAGCAGAGGGGCCCCAGGCCCCTGCTCCAACTGTGCTGCCTCCTGCCACTCTGATTGGGGGTGGCATCCTTCAGGTTGGTGAGTGTCCCTACAGGTTGTCCCATGGCTGCAGACACCCTGGCCACACACCTCTCGGTCTCCAGCTCCACAGACTGGGGAAGGCTCTGCTGGAGTCTGCTCGCATTTCTTCTCGAAGCTCAAATGCCTGCTCCTCCCTTCCTGGCCTCCTCCCTCCCTCCCTTGTCCCTGACCCAGTTAAATAACTCACCTACCGGGAAGCACTCTATTTATACTTTTTTTTTTTTTTTTAATTTTTGAGACAGAGTCTTACTCTGTCACCCAGGCTGGAGCGCAGTGGTACAATCTTGGCACATTGCAACCTCTGCCTCCCAGGTTCAAGCGCTTCTCCTGCCTTAGCCTCCCGAGTAGCTGGAATGACAGGCATGTACCACCACACCCAGCTAATTTTTGTATTAAAAACAGGTTTTCGCCATGTTGGTCAGGCTGGTCTCAGACTCCTGACCTCAGGTGATCCACCCACCTCAGCCTCCCAAAGAGCTGGGATGACAGGCATGAACCACTGCGCCCAGCCCATACTATTACATTGGCTATAATAATTATTAATTGTAATATTAATATTACTTTGGAACACCGAGGCTGGCAGATCACTTGACATCAGAAGTCGAGACCAGCCTGGGCAACATGGTGAAACACCATCTGTACTAAAAATACAAAACATTAGCTGGGCATGGTGGCGTGTGCCTGTAATCCCAGTTACTCAAGAGGCTGAGGCAGAAGAATTGCTTGAACCTGGGAGGTGGAGGTTGCAATGAGCTGAGATCCTACCACTGCACTCCAGTCTGGGTAACAGAGTGAGATCCCGTCTCAAAAAAAAACTTTGTTGTAAATAATAATAGTTAGACATTTCCATTTTGTGACCACATTCTCTGAATTATTCTTATGTTTAGCATTTTATTTATTTATTATATCACGCAGCCTGGAATGTAGTGGTGCCATTTTGGCTCACTGCAACCTCCATCTCCTGTGCTCAAGGGATCCTCCTGCCTCAGCTTCCCAAGTAGCTGGGACTACAGGTGTGCACCATCACACCTGGCAAATTTTTGTATTTTATGTAGAGATGGGGTTTTGCCATGTTGCCCAGGCTGGTCTCGAACTCCTGAGCTCAAACAATCTTCCTGCCTCAGCCTCCCAGAGTGCTGGGATTACCGGCCTGAGCCACCGCACCCGGCCAGCATTTTCCATCCACGATTTGAGTGAGCACAAGAATGCTATGAGGCACACACACCAACTGGCTCCATTTTACAGACGATCAAGCTGAGGTTCCAAGGAGATGTCACCTGCCTAGGTGACTGCCCTCGGTCAGTAATAGAAGGCCGAGGGTCAGAGCCATCAGGTTTAGTGCCCTCCATGAGGTCCCTCAGACTTCTGGGCTCTGTCTGGCTGCAGGCAGACTCCACGAGGGCCTTCCCAGATCCTTGGAGCTGGAGACCTGGGAGGCGTGTGGCCAGAGTGCAGCCTGTTTGACCCCTGAGATCAAGCTCTGAGCCACCATGCCCTCCTGCCTCCCATTGTGCAAAGAAGAAAGCAGAGGTCCCTGGAGAAGGGGCAGGGTTTGCCTTGAGTCACACACTAGGGCATGGGTTCAGATGCCCAATCGAGGCCCCCTTCAGACACACCGGGAAAGGTCTTCCCTGGGTCCCGCTGGGGCAGGGTGAGTTATCCAGCACTTGTCTGGCATTAGGGTTGGGTGGGAAAAGGCCAGGGCTGCTGTCTCCATCCTGCTGTCCTCCTTTTCCACCAGGGCCATGTGGAAGAGCTGTGGGGCCTGGCCACACACCCCAGTCAGGCCCAGTTTGTGACCTGCGGGCAGGATAAGCTGGTGCATCTGTGGAGCTCAGAGTCCCACCAGCCCCTGTGGAGCAGGATCATCGAGGTGAGGGGCCCGGGGACTGGAAACGCACCGTCCTAACAGAACTACCTTTCCCCATGTGTCAGATCTCAGCACATTAGACTGAAACCAAACAAGGTCTTTTTTTTTTTTTTTCCTCTTTGAGATGGAGTCTCATTCTGTCACCCAGGCTGGAGGGCAATGGCATGATTTCGGCTCACTGCAACCTCCACCTCCCGGGTTCAAGCGATTCTTCTGCCTCAGCCTCCCACTCGAGTAGCTGGGATTCCAGGCACACACCACCACACCCAGCTAATTTTTGTATTTTTAGTAGAGACGGGGTTTCACCATGTTGGTGAGGCTGGTCTCAAACTGACCTCATGATCCGCCCACCTTGGCCTCCCAAAGTGCTGGGATTACAGACATGAGCCACCAAGCCTGGCCCAAACAAGGTCTTTTTAAGCAGGGTGGGGGTTTTGTCCAGGGAATTGGGTGCTTAGAAGCTCTCTCAGAAGGGGTGGAGGAGTAGGTTCCTGACTGGAAGGGAGCCCAGGACGACACAGAACCATCCTGTCGGGAGCTGCCATGAGGAGCGGGGAGTCAGGAGCCGCTGAGTTCAAGGAAGGTGTGACTGCTGCAACAGTCAAGTGTAGAGCTACACTGTCCCATAGGGTAACCACTGGCCACACATGGCTATTCACAGTTAATTAAAATGTAAACAGAATAAAAATTTCAGCTGGGTGTGGTGGCTCACACCTGTAATCCCAGCACTTTAGGAGGCCGAGGCAGGTAGATTGTGTGAATCTAGGAGTTTGAGACCAACCTGGGCAACATGGCAAAACCCCATCTCTACAAAAAACAAAACAAAACAAAAATCAGCTGGGCGTGGTGGTGGGTGCCTGTAATGTCAGCTACTTGGGAAACTGAGGCAGGAGAATTGCTTGAACTTGGGAGGCAGAGGTTGTAGTGAGCTGAGACCGTGCCACTGCACTCTAGCCTGGGCGACAGAGCGAAACTCCATCTCAAAAAAATAAATAAAAATTAAAAGAATTAAAAATAAAAGTAAAAAGAGTCTTAAAATTCTGGATGCCCTTTGTCCCAGCATTCCCACATCTAGGAAATTATCTAAAGAAGTTGTCTTGGATGAATAAAGCTGTGGGAATTTAGAAGAGGAGTAAGGAAGGTTCCAGGGACAGCGGTGACAGGAGGAATGTCTTCTGTTCAGGCTAACATGTTACAGGAACGGAAAGAGGAATGGCTGCCATGGTGTCTGGGGTGGTGGTGTCCCAAAGGGCAGCAGAGGGAGGGGAGAGCCCTCATCCCAAGATTAGACTTGGCCCTGAGGCAGGAGAATGGCCAGATGGACATGGGGCCCCAGCTCTGAGCCCTGCCTCTTCTTTCTCCCTTCTCAGGACCCTGCCCGCTCAGCCGGCTTCCACCCCAGTGGCTCTGTCCTGGCTGTGGGTACAGTGACTGGCAGGTAAAGCTGAGGACGGCATTTTGGGAGGGCTTCTCTGCTCCCTGGGTAACTGGCCCTTCTTCCCTCTCTCCTACTTGCCCAAATCCCACTATTTAGCAAGCCCCGATCCCTCAATATTCCTCTGGCTCACTGCAGCCTCCGCCTCCCAGGTTCAAGCGATTCTCCTGCCTCAGCTTCCCGAGTAGCTGGGATTACAGGTGGCCACCACTATGCCTGGCTAATTTTTTTGATTTTTAATAGGGATGGGGTTTTACCATGTTGGCCAGGCTGGTCTTGAACTCCTGACCTCAAGTGATCCACCTGCCTCAGCCTCCCAAAGTGCTGGGATTACAGGCATGAGCCACCGCACCTGGCCTTGTTTTGTTTGGGATAGAGTCTTGCTCTGTTGCCCAGGCTGGAGTCCTGTAGCATGATCCCAGCTCACTCCAACCTCTGCCTCCCAGGTTCAAGCAATTCTCGTGCCTCAGCCCCCCGAGTAGCTGGGATTACAGGCACATGCGCCACCACGCCCGGCTAATTTTTGTATTTTTAGTAGAGGCGGGGTTTCGCTATGTTGGCCAGGCTGATTTTGAACTCTTGACCTCAAGTGATCCACCCACCTCGGCCTCCCAAAGTGCTGGGATTATAGGCCTGAGCCACCGTGCCCAGCCCAGATCTTTTCTGGGGTCCTTCTGATCCCTCCCTCAGACCCCACAAATTGCCGCCCCTCTCTGTCAGATCATCTGACCCCTCCTCCCCCCCACCACGCCCTCTCCTTCAAGATGGCTGCTGCTGGACACGGAGACCCATGACCTGGTGGCTATCCACACAGACGGCAATGAACAGATCTCAGTGGTCAAATTCTCCCCAGGTAAGCGGCAGGCCTGGGACACCCAAGCGGCAGGGCCAGGGGACAGAGGCTCAGAGTTCTTGGCAGGGGGAGGGGTGGAGCCTTCGAAGGGAGGCCTATGAGGGACGCAGTGGGGATGGAGCTGGGGACTGTTGAGGGGGCTGAGTCTGGGCAAGGAGGGGGCGGAGCCTGGGTGCCTCCTCATAGCCCCCCTCCCCCTCCCCCAGACGGGGCGTACCTGGCCGTGGGCTCCCACGACAACTTGGTGTACGTGTACACGGTGGACCAGGGCGGCCGCAAGGTCAGCCGCCTGGGCAAGTGCTCGGTGAGTGGGCAGTGGCCCCCAGCCCGCGCCGCCACCCCGCCCAGGGGGTGCAGAATTAACCAATTTTCTACCTCAAGGGAGCGCAACTTTCAACACTCAACTGACTGTGCCCTGATCAGAGCAAGGAGTCTTGGCCCCGCCCACACATTCACCACCTCGTGTTCTAAGCCCGCCCCTTTGTGTAGCCCCGCCCCCACGTGCTAAGCTCACCATCTGTGTAGCCCCGCCCCTCACGTTCCGAGACCGCCCCTCTGTGTAGCCCCGCCCCTCACATTCTCGAAGCCAGCTCCTCTGTGTCTAGCTCTGCCCACCTGTTCTAAACTACCATTGTGTTCTAAGTGCTTTTTGTCTAGCCCTGCCCATCACAGTCTGGCCCCGCCCACAGTAGTCTGGCCCTGCCCCCACACTCCAAAGGCCTGTGTATCCTTCCTTTAGTCCCATTGTGTTCTTGCCCTACCTCTGTATTTGACCTTCCACTTTCCTGATTTAATCCTGTCCCCCTCTCCTTGGTTCCGCCCTCTGCAGCTCTAACACCATCCCTTCCCTCCCCCGCAGGGCCATTCCAGTTTTATCACCCACCTGGATTGGGCCCAGGACAGCAGCTGCTTTGTCACCAACTCCGGGGACTATGAGATTCTGTACTGTGAGTTCTCCGGGACCCAGAGACATTTCTTCCTCCGTCTCATTTGCAGACTTCCCTGAGTTCTGGGACAGGAGGCAGGGGCTTCAGGTCTCGCTCCCTTAGCATTCAAGGCTGGTTCTGATTTGGAATTCAGGGACTGCTGGCTTATTTTCCCCCTGGTGTACCCCACTTTTAGTCAGTTCCTCCCCTTTCTGGTTGGATGAGTAGGATGCAGGGATGCAGGTTTCTTTTTTACATTTTTAAATTTTTAATTTTTATTTATTATTATTATTGTTATATATTTTTTGAGACGGAGTCTTGCTCTGTCCCCCAGGCTGGAATGCAGTGGTGCGATCTTGGCTCACTGCAAGCTCCACCTCCCGGGTTCAAATGATTCTCCTGCTTCAACCTCCCGAGTAGCTGAGATTATAGGCGCCTGCCACCACACCCATCTAATTTTTTAATATTTTTAGTAGAGACGGGGTTTCACCGTGTTAGCCAGGATGGTCTCAATCTCCTGACCTCATGATCCGCCCGCTCGGCCTCCAAAGTGCTGGAATTACAGGTGTGAGCCACTGCGCCCAGCTGTTTAATTTTTATTTTTTGAGATGGAGTCTCACTGTGTTACCCAGGCTGGAGGGCAGTGGCACGATTTTGGCTCACTGCAACCTCCACCTCCTGGGTTCAAGCTATTCTCCTGCCTCAGCATCCCAAGTAGCTGGGATTACAGGAGCACACCACCATGCCCAACTAATATTTCTGTTTGTATTTTTTTTTGAAATGGAGTTTCCCTCTTGTCTCCCAGGCTGGAATGCAATGGTGTGATCTTGGCTCACTGCAGCCTCCACCTCCCAGGTTCAAGTGATTCTCCTGCCTCAGCCTCCTGAGTAGCTGGGATTACAGGTGTCTGCCACCACACCCAGCTATTTTTTTTTTTTTTTTTTTTTTTGTATTTTTAGTAGAGACGGGGTTTCGCCATGTTGGCCAGGATGATCTTAAACCCTGACCTCAGGTGATCCGCCTGCCTCGGCTTCCCAGAGTGCTGGGATTACAGGCATGAGCCACCATGCCCGGCCTAATTTTTGTATTTTTAGTAGAGATGGGGTTTCCGCATCTTGGCCAGGCTGGTCTCGAACTCCTGACCTCAGGTGATCCAACCGGACGCGGTGGCTCATGCCGCCTCCTGGGATTACAGACATGAGCCACCACGCCCTGCCAGATGCAGGTTTCAAAGCAGATGCTCCCGCTTATGCAGCTGGCTGTGAAGACCCAGCATGCAGCCTTCTCAGCCAGTCCTGACAGGTGGAATGAGCCCTGGGACCTTAGCCTCCTCTGTCTTGGACCTCAGCTCCCACTGTCTAAGAAAGGGACGGGTTTCCTGTGTAGTTCTTCCAACTCTGAATGTCTCCTCCCATTTTCTGCCCCAGGGGACCCGGCTACCTGTAAGCAGATCACCAGTGCAGATGCTGTGAGGAACATGGAATGGGCCACAGCTACTTGTGTCCTGGGGTTTGGGGTGTTTGGTGAGTTCTGGAATGAGAGAGGTCTCCCTGAGGACAGGAGTTCTGAGAGACATCCCTGCTGGTGGTTTCCAGAGTCTTACTGTTTACCTCCAGTGTAGGAAGCTCACTCCTTTACTGCATGTGGGCTGTGTTTGTGTAAGAGGAAAGGGTAGGGTGAGATGACTGATTAGAGCTGTAATAAAATGAAACCAAATGGGCGTGGTGACTGGCCAGGAGAGACCACACTGCCGGTGCCCTAGCCAGCCATTCATTCAGGCACGAAATCAGCGAACACATATTCCCTGAGCAGTTCTGTGCCCGCTATGGGCTTGGCAGTGACCATGACTGAGGGCCCTGCTCTCCTGGGGCTCTCAGTCCAGTTGGGGAGGCAGACTTGTCCCCAGACAGTGCTGACCCAGAGTGAGCAGGGCTGGGACAGGGAAACCTAGGGTGGGGCATCTGGCCTAGTCTTGGAATCAGGGAGGGCTTCCTGGAGGAAGAGACATCTGAGCTAGGACCTGGAGGATGAGGAGTTACTTTCCAGGGCAGTGAAGAAGGAAAGCAGTCTCTAGGCAAAGGGAATAGCACATACAAAAGCCCAGGCGTGTCACAGAGCTTGGCATTCGGAGAAATGCAGGGAGGCAGGGTGGCCAAATCATTACAGAGTTTAACGGGAGCACTGATGAGGGATGAGGCTGGAGCAGTGCATGGGGCCCGCTGAGGCTTAGAACCATAGACCTTCTTCTAAGATCACCAGGGAGCCATGGAAGGGTTTTGAGCAGAGCAGGGGCAGGCTCGGATTCACATTTTAAGAAGGTCATTCTGGGTCGTATCCTTGGATAGATACAGGCTAGGTCGGAACAAATTAGGGTGGCTGGTGTGGCAGTCTGCTTCTCTTGGCAGTCCCTGGCTCCAGCTGACATCTTACAACTTACCTCCATCTTGCCCACAGGGATCTGGTCCGAGGGGGCGGATGGCACTGATATCAATGCTGTGGCCCGCTCCCATGATGGGAAGTTGCTGGCTTCAGCTGATGACTTTGGCAAAGTTCACCTGTTTAGTTACCCGTGCTGTCAGCCTCGAGTGAGTCCCTTGGGGAGATGGGGGTGGATAGGGGTAGCAAGCAGGGGTGGGGACAAGATTCAGGCAGCTCTGGTCCAACCCCACCCCTTCTCTGAGCCTCAGTTTCCCCATCTGTACAAGGAGGACAGTGGTCTTGATCCCAAGGGCCTTTCTTAATCCAAAGGTGGATGAATTTCAGAGTGTGCCATGCTGAAGACATGGTTCTCTTTTTTTTTTTTTGAGACGGAGTCTCGCGCTGTTGCCCAGGCTGGAGTGCAGTGGTGTGATCTCGGGTCCCTGCAAGCTCCGCCTCCCGGGTTCATGCCATTCTCCTGCCTCAGCCTCCCGAGTAGCTGGGACTACAGGCGCCCGCCACCATGCCTGGCTAATTTTTTGTATTTTTAGTAGAGACAGGGTTTCACCATGGTCTCGATCTCCTGACTTTGTGATCCACCCACCTTGGCCTCCCAAAGTGCTGGGATTACAGGCGTGAGCCACGGTGCCCAGCCGAAGACATGGTTCTCTAAAATTCTGAGCAACTGTAATTCTGAGCTCTTTGGTTCTTTTATCCTTGTTAACTCAGTAAATATTTATTGAGCACCTACTATGTACCTGGGCACAGGATATACAACCAGATCTTACAAGTTTTTAAGGGAGGCCAAGGTCAGGTGCAGTGGCTCACACCTGTAATCACAACACTTTGCAAGACTGAGGCAGGAGGATCGCTTGAGGCCAGGAGTTCAAGACCAGGCTGGGCAACAAAGTGAGACCCCATCTCTACAAAACACACAAAATTAGCTGGGCATGGTGGTGCACGCCTGTAGTCCCAGCTACAAGAAAGTCTGAGGTGGGAGGATTGCTAGCCCAGGAGGTTGAGGCTGCAGTGAGCCATGATTGCACCACTGTACTCTAGCCTGGGCGATAGAACAAGACTTTATCTCAAAACAAAGACGAAAACAAACAAACAAAAAAGCTGGACGTTAATTTTACCATTCTCTGGTTCTAACAGAAGAGGGGTTGTTTCAGCATTTTCCTAGGAAATTTTCATGCATAAAAGCAGAAAGACTAGTACAGTGACCCCTCCTGTACCTGTTACCCATGTTCAACTATTACCAGATTTGGTATATTTATTTCATTTGTTTCTTCTTTCTCCTTTCTCTTCGTTTTTTATTTTTCAGACAGGGTCTCACTCTGTTGCCCAGGCTGGAGTGCAGTGGCATGGCACAATCTCGGCTCACTGCACCTTGACCTCCTGGACTCAAGCGGTCCTCCCACCTCAGCCTTCTGAGTAGTTAGGACTACAGGCGTGCATCACCACACCTGGCCAACTTTTGTATTTTTGATAGAGATAGGGTCCCTGTTGCCCAGGCTGGTCTTGATCTCCTAGACTTGAGCAATCCTTCCCACCTTAGTTTCCCAAAGTGCTGGGATTACAGGCATGAGCCACAGCACCTGTCCTGGTCTGTAGTTTTAAGAAACTGCATATGTAGCCAGGTGTGGTGGCTCATGCCTGTAATCCCAGCATTTTGGGATGCCAAGGTGATGGACCACCTAAGGTCAGGAGTTTGAGACCAGCCTGACCAACATGGCGAAACCCCGTCTCTCCTAAAAATACAAAAATTACCTGGGCGTGGTGGCAGGTGCCTGTAATCCCAGCTACTCAGGAGGCTGAGGCAGGAGAATCGTTTGAACCCGGGAAGCGGAGGTTGCAGTGAGCCAGGATCATGCCACTGCACTCCACTGAGCGACACCGCACTGAGTGACAGAGTGAGACTTTGTCTCAAAAAAAACCCACAAAAATTAGTCAAGCCTGGTGGTGCACGCCTGTAATCCCAGCTACTGGGGAGGGTGAGGCAGGAGAATTGCCTGGACCCGGGAGGCAGAGGCTGTAGTGAGCCAAGATCATGCCACTTTACTCCAGCCTGAGCGACAGCAAGGCTCTGTCTTTTTTTTTTTTTTTTTTTTTTTGAGACAGAGTCTCACTCTGTCGCCCAGGCTGGAGTGCAGTGGCCGGATCTCAGCTCACTGCAAGCTCCGCCTCCCGGGTTTACGCCATTCTCCTGCCTCAGCCTCCCAAGTAGCTGGGACTACAGGCGCCCGCCACCTCGCCCGGCTAGTTTTTTGTATTTTTAGTAGAGACGGGGTTTCACCGTGTTAGCCAGGATGGTCTCGATCTCCTGACCTCGTGATCCGCCCGTCTCAGCCTCCCAAAGTGCTGGGATTACAGGCTTGCGCCACTGCGCCCGGCGGCTCTGTCTTTTAAAAAAAAAAAAAAAAAAAAAACACCACACACACAAAAACACATAGGCTATCTTTTAGCCCTCTAAATTAAGCATTCATGTTTAAAAAAACAAGGATAATTCTGGCCGGGCACGGTGGCTCACGCCTGTAATCCCAGCACTTTGGGAGGCCGAGGCAGGCGGATCACCTGAGGTCAAGAGTTCAAGACTAGCCTGGTCAACATGGTGAAACCCAGTCTCTACTAAAAATGCAAAAAAAGGAGTCGTGGGTGGTAGTGGGCGCCTGTGATCCCAGCTACACAGGAGGCTGAGGCATGAGAAATCACTTGAACTTGGGAGGCGGAGGTTGCAGTGAGCTGAGATTGCACCACTACACTCCAACCTGGGCAAAAGAGTGAGATTCTGTCTCAAAATAATAATAATAATAATAAAAAGAAGAATTCTTACATATCCACAAGCCTCTGACCACTCCTACTCATTAACATTAATTTCTTCTTCTTTTTTTTTGAGACAGAATTTCGCTCTTGTTGCCCAGGCTGGAGTGCGATGGCGCGATCTCAGCTTGCTGCAACCTCCGCCTCCTGGGTTCAAGCGATTCTCCTGCCTCAGCCTGCCAAGTAGCTGGGATTACAGGCTTGCGCCACCATGCCTGGCTAATTTTGTATTTTTAAAATAGAGACAGGGTTTCTCCATGTTGGTCAGGCTGGTCTTGAACTCCCAACCTCAGGCGATCCGCCTGTCTCGGCCTCCCAAAGTGCTGGGATTACAGGCGTGAGCCACCGTGCCCGGCAACATTAATTTCTTGTATGCCTCATCCCTAGGGAGGCAAAAACAAAACATCAATTCCTAAATATGATCTCATAGCCAGTACATATTCACATTTCCTTGATGTGCCCCAGACTGGCCTTCTACGGTTGGTTTGTTTGAATCAGGGTCCAAACTGCATTTGCTTATGTCTCAAATCTCAGCATGTAGAACAGCCTTCCCCATGTGCATGCTGTTTCCTTTATTTATGCCATTAACTTGTTGAATAAACCAATTCAGTTGCCCTGCTGGGTTTTTTGTTGGTTTGTTTTTGTTTTTTTGACAGTCTCCCTCTGTCGCCCAGGCTGAAGTGCAGTGGCATGCTCTCGGCTCACTGCGACCTCTGCCGCCTGGGTTCAAGTGATTCTCATGCCTCAGCCTCCCAAGTAGCCGGGGCTACAGGCGTGTGCCACCACACCCAGCTAATTTTTTGTATTTTTAGTAGAGACGGGGTTTCACCACATTGGCCAGGCTGGTCTCGAACTCCTGACCTCAAGTAATCCACCTCCACCTCGGCCTCCCAAAGTGCTGGAATTACAGGTGTGAGCCACCACACGCAGCTGTTCTGGGTTTTTTTGTTTTTTGTTTTTTTTTTTTTGAGATGGAGTCTCACTCTGTCGCCAGGCTAGAGTGCAGTGTCACAATCTCGGCTCGCTGCAACCTCCGACTCCCTGGTTCAAGCGATTCTCCTGCCTCAGCCTCCGAAGTAGCTCAGATTACAGGCATGCTCCACCACGCCCAGCTAATTTTTATATTTTTAGTAGAGACGGGGTTTCATCATGTTGGCCAGGATGGTCTTGATCTCCTGACCTTGTGATCTGCCTGCCTCGGCCTCCCAAAGTGCTGAGATTACAGGCGTGAGCCACTGCACCTGGCCTCCGTTGGTTCTTCAAGGGTTTATTAGCCCTGGCAACATTGGGACACCCCATCGCTATGAAAGTAAAAAAAATTAGCCAGGTGTGGTGGCGCTTATCTGTGATCCCAGCTACTCGGGAGACTGAGGTGGGAGGATCCCTTGAGCCCAGGAGGTTGAGGCTACATTGAAGCTGTGCTCATGCCTCAGTGACTTCACTCTAACCTAAGTGATTTAAAAAAAAAAAAAAAAAAAGAGGAAGAGCAGAGAACTGGGTCAAGACAAGAGGACCATGATGGAGTGGCATTGTCCCCACTGACCTTTCTTTACTTACTTCTTTCCTTATAACAGGCCCTCAGCCACAAGTACGGTGGACACAGCAGCCACGTGACAAATGTGGCCTTCTTGTGGGATGACAGCATGGCCCTGACCACGGGGGGCAAGGACACCAGTGTGCTACAGTGGCGGGTGGTCTGATGAGGCCAGGGAAGAGTCAGGTGTCAGGGCAGGAATTCTATTTTCGGGAGATGTCTATTGCCGAGTAGAGTAATATATACCCAGAGTATGTCTATAGCAGAGGGGTTTATGGGGGCGGGAGGGTAGACTGACAGAAGTCTCTATTTATCCGGGTGGGATGAGGGAATCACATTGCTTTGGGGATCCACTGGTGTTTGGTTTGGGGTGTTTTTTAAGTTTTTTCTTTTATATCATCCAGAAATAAAGACACGTGCACTATGGTGTGTCCGGTCTGTGTATTTGTATGGTGTGTACCTACACAGTTGTGTATGTGTATGGATGTGTGTGTGTATTAGTGTATTAGCCCGTTTTCATGCTGCTGATAAAGACATACCTGAGACTGGACAATGAAACGCACATCTCACATGACGGCAGAGAAGAGAAGAGACTTTGTGCAGAGAAATGCCACTCTTTTTTTTTTTTTTTTTTTTTTTTTTTTGAGACGGAGTTTCGCTCTGTCACCCAGGCTGGAGTGCAGTAGTGCCATCTCGGCTCACTGCAAGCTCCCCCTCCCGGGTTTACTTATGCCATTCTCCTGCCTCAGCCTCCTGAGTAGCTGGGACTATAGGTGCCCACCACCATGCCCAGCTAATTTTTTGTATTTTTAGTAGAGACGGGGTTTCACCATGTTAGCCAGGATGGTCTCGGTCTCCTGATTTCACGATCCGCCCACCTCGGCCTCCCAGAGTGCTGGGATTACAGGCATAAGCCACTGTGCCCGGCCAAAATGCCACTTTTTAAAACCATCAGATCTTGTGAGACTCATTCACTATCAACAAGAACAGCATGTGAAAGACCTGCCCCAAGATTTAATTACCTCCCACCAGTTCCCTCCCACAACACCTGGGAATTCAAGATGAGATTTGGGTGGGGACCCCACCAAACCATATCTGTGTTACAGTGCTTGTGATGAGGGACCGTTGTTATTTAGGTCTTCATTGGAAGCAAGCAATAGAAACCATCTTGCTCTAACTTGGATTAAAATAAAACTTTCTGGCCCGGTGCGGTGGTCCACACCTGCGATCTCAGCACTCTGGAAAGCTGAGGCAGGTGTATCACCTGAATTAAGGAGTTCCAGACCAGCCTGGCCAACATGGTGAAACCCTATCTCTTAAAAAATACAAAACAATTATCCAGGTGTGGTGGCGGGCACCTGTAGTCCCAGCTACTCGGAGGCTGAGGCAGGAGAATTGCTTGAACCTGGGAGGCAGAGGTTGCCGTGAGCCGAGATCGCGCCACTGCACTCCAGTCTGGGTAACAGAGTGAGACTCTGTCTCAAGAAAATTAAAATAACATAAAATAAAACTTTTTTTTTTTTTTTTAGATGGTGTCTTGCTCTGTCTCCCAGGCTGGGGTGCAGTGCCATGATCTCGGTTCACTGCAACCTCTGCCTCTCAGGTTCAAGCGATTCTCCTGCCTCAGCCTCCTGAGTAGCTGGGAACACAGGTGCTTGCCACAACACCTGGCAAATTTTTGTATTTTTTTCTTTTTTTTTTTTTGAGACGGAGTCTCGCGCTGTCACCCAGGCTGGAGTGCAGTGGCCTGATCTCAGCTCACTGCAAGCTCCGCCTCCCGGGTTCACGCCATTCTCCTGCCTCCGCCTCCCGAGTAGCTGGGACTACAGGCGTCCGCCACCTCGGCCGGCTAGTTTTTTGTATTTTTTAGTAGAGACGGGGTTTCACCGTGTTAACCAGGATGGTCTCGATCTCCTGACCTCGTGATCCGCCCGTCTCGGCCTCCCAAAGTGCTGGGATTACAGGCTTGAGCCACCGCGCCCGGCCCCTTTTTTTTTTTTTTTTTTTTTTTTCTTTTAGACGGAGTCTCACTCTGTCACCCAGGCTGGAGTGCAGTGGCGTGATCTCGGCTCTCTGCAAGGTCCGCTTCCTGGGTTCACGCCATTCTCCTGCCTCAACCTCCCAAGTAGCTGAGACTACAGGCAACTGCCACCATGCCCAGCTAATTTTTTTTTTTTTTGTATTTTTAGACGAGGTTTCACTGTGTTAGTCAAGATGGTCTCGATCTCCTGACCTCGTGATCTGCCCACCTCGGCCTCCCAAAATGCTGGGATTACAGGCGTGAGCCACCGTGCCCGGCCTGTATTTTTTAATAAAGAGTTTTCACCATGTTGGCCAGGTCGGTCTCGAACTGACCTCAGGTGATCTGCCCGCCTTAGCCTCCCAGAGTGCTGGGAATACAGGTATGAGCCACCATACCCGGGCTGATCCTTCACTTTTTAAAAAGCCAGCACCCTCTACAGTCACATTGTCTTATGCACCAGCCATTTGAACCCTCCCTTTCTGAACTTGTCCACTGCGGAACTCCCATTCAGCCAGCAGTGACCAGACCTATGCTGGAGATAGGATACCAGCCCCAGTGAGACCCAAGCCATCACAACCCTTAGGGCAGAAGGGACAGGGAGGGAATTTGTTACCCATCTCCAGGGACAGGCAGAGTTCCCAGAGGAGCTGTGGTTCAGAGGAAGGGGCCACGGCCACTGTGGGACTAAGGGAAGCAGTAAGGGGCCCAGGAAGTGAATGTACCCTGACCTCTCTCCACCGACCCCGTGGATGGAGTTTGCACTAGCCTTATCCTATCACCCTTAGGTCTAGAAGACAGTTTTCTGCTGCTCTTGGGTCAAAGCCTCTTCTCCTCCTCCCTTCACTGCCTACCTTTCATCCCTTCACTACCTACCTTTCATTGCCCAGGTTCTGGGAAAGTGGCCCAGCGCTGCGAAAGCGGCCCGTTCATTGGGAATCCGGGTGCTCTTTCGACCCCTGGTGGCCAGACTTGGACCTACATGGAAAAATGCACCAAGAAAGTTCTGCTGGAAAAGTGCTGGTGATTCTCCACGTGACCCTCCTCCACCCCAGGGTCACTCTCAGCCTTCCTTCCCTAGCTCGGGGCCCTGGGAGACTGCCGTGTGCAAACTCTATCCGCAGGGTCGGTGGAGAGAGGTCAGGATATTTGCTTCCTGGGCCCCTCCCTGCATCCTGCACTCACAGTGGCTGTGGTTCCCCTCCTCTGAGCCGCAGCTCCTCTGGGAACTCGAGCAGTCCCTGGAGACGGTAATAGACTCCCTCCCTGTCCCTTCTGCCCTAGGCTGGCGATGGCTTCGTGCCCACTTCGGCTGGTCCCCTGGTGCCACCCCATCCTTTGTGGCTTTCTCCACTCTGCCCATCTCTCCATAAACTGCCCATAAACGCTCCCAGTTAAACTCGGGACTGGCCACTTGCTTCCCTCCAGGACCCTGATCAAGTCTCAGCATAAATTTAGGGTAAGCCAGAGAGAGAAGGGGACCCTAAGCCCACCAATGAGCATTCAGAATTTATCTTTTTATTATTATTATTTTTTGAGTCATTCTCACTCTGTTGCCCAGGCTGAAGTGCAATGGCACGATCTTGGCTCACTGCAACCTCCACCTCCTGGGTTCAAGCAATTCTCCTGCCTCAGCCTCCCAAGTACCTGGGATTACCGGCATCCACCACCACACCCAACTAATTTTTGTATTTCTACTAGAGATGGGGTTTTGCCATGTTGGCCAGTCTGGTTTGAACTCCTCAACTCAAGTGATCTGCCCACCTCAGCCTCCCAAAGTGCTGGGATTACAGATGTGAGCCACCGCACCTGGCCAATATCCTGAGTCTTGATTTGGGTGTTTAATTACATGGTATATTCAATTTTCAGGATTCCTTATACTGTTCCCTTAAGATCTGAACATTTTAATTAAATTTTTTGAGACTAATTGTTAATTAAATGTAATTTTTAATTACATTTATTTTTTAATCACGGTTAATTTTTAATTTTTTTTTTTTTTGTAGAGATGGGGGTCTCACTTTGTTGTCCAGGCTGGTCTCAAACTCCTGGGATCAAGTGATCCTCCCACCTCGGCCTCCCAAAGTGCTGGGATTACAAGCATGAGCCACAGAGCTTGACTGCCCCTTTTTCCCTCTCTGTTTCCCAGGCTGTAGTGCAGTGGTGTGATCTTGGCTTACTGCAATCTCTGCCTCCTGGGCTCAGGTGATCCTCCCACCTTGGCCTTCGCAGTAGCTGGGACCACAGGCACGCACCACCACCCAGCTGGCTAGTTAAAATAAATTTTTTTTCTGTAGAGACAGAGTCTTGCTATGTTGCCCAGGTTGATCTCAAACTCCTGGCTTCAAATGATCCCCCTGCCTTGGCCTCCTAAAGTGATGGGATTACAGGCATGAACCACCATACCTGGCCTACATTTTAATTTTAATTTAAAAATAAACAAAAAGGCCGGGCGCGGTGGCTCAAGCCTGTAATCCCAGCACTTTGGGAGGCCGAGACGGGTGGATCACGAGGTCAGGAGATCGAGACTATCCTGGCTAACACGGTGAAACCCCGTCTCTACTAAAAAATACAAAAAAAAAACTAGCCGGGCGAGGTGGCGGGCGCCTGTAGTCCCAGCTACTCGGGAGGCTGAGGCAGGAGAATGGCGTGAACCCGGGAGGCGGAGCTTGCAGTGAGCTGAGATCCGGCCACTGCACTCCAGCCTGGGCGACAGAGCGAGACTCCGTCTCAAAAAAAAAAAAAAAAAAAAAAAAAAAAGAGCCAGGCACGATGGCTCATGCCTGTAATCCCAGCACTTTGGGAGGCCAAGGCATGCTGATCACTTGAGGTCAGGAGTTCGAGACCAAACTGGCCAACATGGTGAAAACCTGTCTCTACTAAAAACACAAAAATTAGCCAGGTGTGATGGTACGCACCTGTAGTCCCAGCTACTCGGGAGGCTGAGGCAGGATAATCACTTGAACCTGGGAGGTGGAGGTTGCAGTGAGCTGTGATGGTACAATGGCACTCCAGCCTGGGGGACAGAGCAAGACTCTGTCTCAAAAAAACAAAAAACAAGCTGGGCACCATGGCTCATGCCTGTAATTCCAGCACTTTGGGAGGTCGAGGTGGGCAGATCACCTGAGGTCAGGAGTTTGAGACCAGCCTGGTCAACATGGTGAAACGCTGTCTCTACTAAAAAAAAAAAAAAAAAAAATTGCTGGGTGTGGTGGTTCATGCTGATATTCCCAGCTACAAGAGGCTGAGACAGGAGAATCACCTGTACCCGGGAGGAGGAGGTTGCAGTGAGCTGAGATCATGTCCTTGCACTCCAGCCTGGGCACAGCAAGACTCTGTCTCAAAAAAAAAAAAAAAAAATCAAACCTGACAGCTATCATTTTTTAGTGTTGTATGCCACGTCTATCTGAGG